GGTATTGGGCGGGGGCGCAGAGCCAGCTCCCTTATGTGCACCTTCTGGGATTGTGGCCTCGTCTCCTTTGCACCTTTGCATAATAGGGATTGTTCTGCGGTTAAACACAATCAAGGTCTTAGGGGCTATTTTTGAATGCATTGAAAGGTGGGGCAAATTGAAGAAGACATCTGACTTCCAAATGAACATTGATCATTGGAGAAAGTTACCAAATGAAAAAAGACTGCAGGGGCTTGTTAGGTAACCCTCTCTACTGGACTACAACTGAAACAACTTCTATTATCTTGTACTAAAAACCACACGGATCATTTTTCATCCTCATGTGTTGTAAATTAAGATATCTCAATGAATGATGCAGGTAAACGTTATTAGATTGCATTGTAGTTAGAAGCTGCATAATGAAGTTAGGGTAGTGCTGTGAGTAGACACTTGGCAGGTTGAAATGGCAGAAATCAAATCAGTGAGTACACAGTGATCACGTTTCATATGTGAACACTTAGAATTAGTGTCAATCCAAATCACAAGACATACTGATAGTAAGGGGTAGGCGGTTACTAGGAAGCACCCAGAAAAATTATGTTAGAACTACAACCAAATGTATACTTTTTTACAGTTACCAATTCCATTACCAAAGTAAAGGAAGCTAACAAAGTAAATGTACTGTACATAAGGTTAAAAAAAAAAAAAAAAAAAAAAAAAAAAAAAACTTTAACACATTAAAGGGGAAACTTTTTACCTTTACTCCACTACATTTGAGTGCAGGTATCTGTACTTTTTGCTTTTCTAATTGGAAAGAAGTAACTAACTGGACTGAAAAGTTAAAGTATTTTTTTCATTATTGTGCTTTAAGTACATTTTATACAGGTACTTTAATACATTTATTTTCATGTTATATTTTTACTTGAGCGTTTTATTGCTCCAGTATCTGTACTTTTACTTACGGTAAGTAACAAAGTGTAGTGCTTCATCCACTGCTAAAAAGTACATAATGTGCAGAACAAACCACATGTAGTCATATAATGTTGGAGACATATAGACAGAGACAAGACAAATACAGTTATACTCATTCATTTTAATCTGTTCACTGCTTTACACAAACATTCAGTGTGGCTGGTTTAGATACAGGTAATTGAATTGTCCAGATTTTTTGGACATTTTTGTCCATTTGATAGAGAATCAGCAGTGACAGGGAGTAAAAGAGGGGAGAGCATTGTCCAAATACTCTAAACTGAAAACTGCAACACAAATGAACACTATGTTTGCCCAAAATTAAAGTGCCACAAACTCGACCAGCTCTACAATTGTTTTAGTCTAAAAGGAAAATTCAATTCACTTGAGTGTTTAGTCAATACACTTTTTTGTGTCAGCAATTCACTTCTCCAACTTTTCAAGTTAGACTTTTTTTAGGGTTGCAACTGATGATTATAGTCCACTAGAAAGTGACATATTTTTTCAATTCGTTGACTAAACAAACAATTATTCTATTGTACACTGAGACTTTATGAATACATTATCATCCAAATGGAGGTTGCATAATGATGACTGGATGCTTCAAAATTGGGAATATTTACACATATAGTGTATTATTGATTAAAGAATAAAAGCCTTTTGGAATGTGTTTATGAGTCTATAGTTCAGATAATGATTATGATGAAATTACAATCACAATTGTTTTTCTTTCTCTTTGGCCCAATTTCACTAAAGAACAGTTTGTGATTGGTGTGTCTGTTTATCACCTTTAAAAGTGTCTGCTATGCATGTTAAATTGTTCTTTGATTTTAATTAGGCATGGTGGGCGTAGTTATACAGTGGTCTTTATTATTTTATAAAATACATTAAATGTGTCCATGCTTTATTTGTTCAGTCGTTTTGAATTAGACTACTTTTAACCTGATTTGACTTTTTCTTCGCTCCTCCTCTCACAAAGACAGACACAGCCTCTTGAATTTTAAACACATCGATTCAGCATTACTTACAGGTACTATTGATCACAGATATAGGCTTTTTGACAAAACATTTCATACTGATTTAAAGTTTGCTCAAGACAAAAAGCTCACGTCTGAGCGAATTTACCAGACACGGTGGGAATCTAAGCATCAAGGTAGCATCAGCACTGAATTATAGAAAGCAGAAAAACTTCCTTGTCTGTGGGCCTCTGGGTTCAGAATACTATACATAGCTTCTCCTGTAATAAGACTAAAGTTTCTTCATTGGATTTCAGTATCAAGCCAGTGCATCTCATCAGAGAAGACATCAGGCAAATCTCTAGATATTGATCACTGCTTCCACATTTGATTGAGACTCGTGACAAGACTGTGGCCAGGACATAAACAGAAGGCAGAAGGTTAAAAAAGTGGATACCAAATCGATAAAGATGAGTGACAGGAGCGGGGCCGGAGCGTTGTGTATTGTATTGTCTTCTCAGAATAAATCACTGAGAGACAGTTGAAAGTGCCGGATCTACTGCTAATGTTTCTTTTGCCCTGCTTCTCCTCCTGAGCAGAGCAGGGTGCTGGCCTCCTCCATCCATCTGTCTGCACTGGTGTTTATCGCTGCTGCTTCTCAGACAAGAAAGGACAAAAGCTTTGGGAACATCAAGTACTGAGCGGATTGCACCCAGTTTGTCTCTTCGTGTCATGGGGTCATTTGCATATGCCTACAAGTACCTGCATTCTGGTGGTATAGCAAGTATTTAAAGTGTACTTGAGGTGTTTCTGGGGGGGGGGGGTTCTTTGGGGAGTTCTGTTCTCGGGGAGATGCAGATTCTTAGCTTCCTGGCAGCCTGGTGGGTAGAGAGGGGGAGAGTTCAGCATCCTAACAGCCTGGTGGATGAAGCTGTTAGTGAGTCTGGGGGGCGATGTGCACCCCCAGGAATTTTGTGCAGCTCATTGTCTCCACAGCAGCACCCTCGATGGTCAGTGGTGTGTGTTGGGTGTGGCCTCTCTGGAAGTTGACAACAATCTCCATGTCGCTCTTGGTGATGACCAGAGTTGTGTTGTCTGCGAATTTCACAAGGTGGTTGGTGCTGTAGATTGTTGTGCGGTGAAGGCTGTATCAAGTGGTGGTTTGAATATTGTTTAATGAAGTTACACATTGAGTTGAAGCTTAAACACTGTGATCTTATCTGTTGAACAGTACTATTGTGTTTTCTACATAATGGGTGACCTATGTGCTTCTAAGCAATTTCCTTTGCAGAACTGGGACTGTGGATATAACCAACTGGCTTATCTAAACAGACTTGGTGTGATTTACAATGGTTTGGAGGGGGTTGTCACTTCCCCCAAAGAAGAAATGCTGACACTTCAAGGCGACGATTCAAGGCGGGAACCTGCTCAACATATTATATGCATATTCATATGGATGTTTATAAAACTGGGCTGAAGTATTCAGAAGGGGTCAGATGCCTGATGTGAGCCCTATGTAACTTTGTAGGCAGTTAGGGACAACGATCTGACCCAGAGCTCTGTATTAGATTGCATTGTCAGGGGAATAATTTTTTGTAATTTAAATTGATTGAGTCTAGTACTTTTTGATAGAACACGCCTAACAGCGGTCATGTGTCAGCAGGGTGAAGGGTTAGGTATTGTTGCCAACACGTACTGCTTGTGGTCTCTGGAAGTTTAGCAACAGTTGCAGAGGTGTAATATATTGTGTATTGTTGGCCTATTATCAAAATATAAATTCTAACAAAGATAAAGATTTTTGAACCCTAAATACCACATATCTGTGGTTGTATATAACTGGTACAGATACTTTTCTTCAGTTGTTGTGTAAATGGTAGAGGGTCTGTCAAACGCTTTTCTTGACAGAGATTTATTGCTTTGTATGAAATGTTTCACAGAATGGTATATCTTCATCCAGACCAAACTACAGGTCAGATCTGTGGAGAACTTTCTGTAGGTATTTTTGAGCTATAAAACCACCTGTAATTTAATAAATGTAGGGTAGAGATGTTTAATGACATAGTGTGGAAGATTTCAGGCAGAGCAATGAAACATCATTAGAAACAAGCAGGTGATGGATATCCCAAGCCAAAAAGCTACATACTGCACCTTTAAGCTTGACCAGCAGCAACACATAGAAATATTCAATATGCAATTATATCCATTTTTATTGTTGTTTTTACTTGTTGTTAATAATACTAGTAAACTGTGCAGTTAAAGTGACTTTCACATATATAGATTTGCTTTTTGCTGCATTTTCTGGGACAGTGAGTTGGAGGACTAGACTGTGTGACAGAGTAAATATGTTGAAATAGAGGGGTAATGTTGTATTTGTCCAAGTGCTTTACTCAGTGGTTACTGCTGTGAGCCTCTTTCCTTCCTTTTCACTGTTTTTCAGAGATAGTGTACAAGCAGCACACTTAATATCAGTGTCTGTGTATCTGCTGGTACTGAGCCCTTTGGCACTGGGTCTCGGCTCTGTTTATTTGGTCCAATGAATTATTTATGGGAGAGACATTTACAGGGAGTTCCAATGTAGTTCTATTTGCAGCATCATGTAGATCACATTGCTTCGTGCACTCTTACTGAAATCCAGGTTTCACAATATTTTGCAATTCTATCACACGGCATTGTCAATGTAAAGCAAAGATAAAGGTGCATTGTATAACTTTTCTGGAAGAGGCCATCTTCCATCTGCCTGTCACCATGGAGATGTTATTACTTTGCCAGGAATACACCATCAAGCCAAGTTACAAGTTAAACTGGATGAGAACCAAGCCGGCTCACTGTAAGAACGCATGCATTTTGGTGCAACCTGTAATGAAATAAATACAAGCTAAATAAGTATAATGCCATACTGTGGAAGATTCCAGGCAAACCAATAATCTCCACAGACACATGCATGTAGCAGAAGTTAATCAGAATCTTTATCCACTTATTTATGCAGGTTTGGTGTTGCCAGATGTAAATAAAATATTTAGTTTTAGGCTGGTTTAATCTTGATTCATTTTATGCACAAATGCTGGTATCAGGTCCAATTCCCCCCATATGTGCCAGATGACTAGAGGTTCTTTATTGGGTCAGGGTAAGGTCAGTGGCTGTTTTTGGAACAGGATATTTCATAATGTTTGTTTATACTCTTCCTCCATAAAAATAAATAAATAAATAATAAACACACACACATCAAAAACCCAGTCTCTTGCACAAACCATCACCCGACTCGGTCTGAGCTGTTTTGCACTCAGCCTGCGTTCACTACAAAGGCATGGCTCTATCAGTATGGTGGTCACATTACTAAAAGGCTGCATTTATTTATTTATTTATTTATTTAACTTGTGTTCATTCCCACTGCTGACAGCAGAGGATGCTGCAACGCCTTAATAAAGTGCTGGAAAGAAAGTTATCGTTTTACAAACAGACTTTTTATGTGAAATCCCAAATGCCAAGGTGCCCTTAAGCACATTAAAAGTCACAATAGTGCATAATAAGTCCACTTAAAAGCCTCTTCAATGGAACTGGTTGATATTTGGCAGATATTTGGAACTGAAATATTGTTTTGAAACTATAAAAGCTCAGTGGTTACATTTTTGTGCAGTGAATTGTAGTATTGGTGCAGTGACATCATGTTGGGGGGTTGTACATGTATCTCTTTAGCAGAATGTTCATCAGTTACCATGGAGACACAGTGCACATATTAGCAAATACTGCCAAAAAAAAAAAAAAATTTATGATAGTCTGAAAATTCTAGAAAATAGTTTCGTTTACACATTTTCAGTAAACTGTGATCAATACAAGTTTTCATGGTTCTATTTAGGTGATTTTCAACAAAAAAGGTGAGCATGACTAACGGAAACTGTTTCTAGCTATCTTGTTTCTGTAATTTTATGTGTGAGACTAACACATATCAGCTCACCTGTTGTAGTTCCACGTAAGTGAGATCTTTATGATCAAACTGAACTAAAATAAGGCTCTGATGAAAGAGCTTCTGACAACATAATGTATTCAGTTATCATCACACCCCCAAGAAGTTGCAAAGTACTTGTATGAAATTAAACAAAATACTCACCTAACATTCACCATTCTTTCCAAAAACTGCCCTAACTCAGCTGCTCTGTTGTTTCTTTGCAGAGCTGTAAAGAGTCAGGTCCACCCTGGGAATCTTTCCACAGTCGGGTGCTGGATGAGAACAAGGACCGGCTCTGACCTTGGGAAGTGAAGATGTCGTTGCCATGGGAACTGTTAATCCTGCTGTCACTCAGAGCGTGCCTAGCTGGTGAGAAGTGGAGTTGCCCTCATGACACACACCTCATATGCATAATATGTCTCAAAGGGAGAAGGACTCATGTTCGGTCCCATGTTAAGGTTATCACTTCATTTCAAAGAGAATCACTGCAGTCCCATGAGAGGTGCAGAAATATTCTGCTGGCTCTTTGGAATAGTACTCAGGTTATGTTAGTTATACATGAGGAATATTCCCAAAAAATTATGTTTCAGCTTTATTTTCTCAATTTCTTTTTTACCATTTTGCCACTATAAAAGCATCGTTCATGCCCAACAAAATATTGGAGATAATTCTCTGACATTGTCAAAAGATTTGAACAGTTTTGTCCCTTTATTGCATGTCACCATTGTAAAAGAGATTCTTAGCACATTTTATCACTTTATTTTAGTATGCAATTACCATGCTTTACACTCAACTGCCGCCACGGAGGTAAAATTCTGCAAGCTTATAAAAATTCACACCAACCATTTTCTCTATCACACTAATCTACTCTATTCTTGGCTCTCAAGAACATAGTGCAGCCTTATACATACATACAGAACAGCCTTATACATACATGCATTTAGAGTAGAGTAACAGTTAAATGATGGATGGATGGAAATATAACATGTGCATGTGACTGTACAGAGTCACTGTTCTTTCTATATAATGTATTTTACATAAAATTACAGTATTCTTGAAGCATTCTACAGTACCTCTGGCCTTCTTAGTATTTGAAAAACTCTGTTCAAAAATTCTTCTTCTAGTAGAGCAAATAAAAAAATAATAATAATATATTAATTTAAAATTTTCTCAAAATTGAACAAAGTAAAAATAAATAAATGCATAGATAGCTATATCATCTTAAGTATCCAGTTCAGACAGCTGTAAATTGCATTATTGTGTAGGATGTATGGAATCCCAGCCATCCTTGTTTGTGTAGAACAAGCCTATAAAACAGCATCTGACTCCATACATTATCTTCATGCCCAAAGACCTTCTACTGTACTTTTGTGTTGAGAATACACAAAGGGTATGCACAATGTCTGTACTACATACCTAGCATACAGTTAACGTTCTAATTGCACATTTGTATGCATTCCCATGAAACCCAATTTTAGTGTATCTGTGTGTGCGTGTGTTGAAGTGCGGGCGGTCCTACTGTTCTGTTTCCATCGGCCTCATTCTCGCCCACAAACCAGCGCTCAGTCAGTTCCCAGGTGCAATAGCCCGCCTATTAAAGGTTCATTAATTTGTTTAATTTAAAGGACACAGCTAGTCGAGTAAAAATGAAGCAACTCCCCGGGAGGCTGGGGGAAAACAAGGCCCTTACCTGAGGCACACACTCCCACTCTCATTAGGAGGGCGATGATGATGGTGATGTGGGAGGGAGCTCTCTTCGTCCTAGCCAAGGTTATATGCAAAAACAACACATTTGCGAGGTGGAAGTAACTGATTATAGACTACTCAAAAAACAATGTATTTTTTATAGTTTTGAGTAAAATTGAAGACATGTCATCAGTTCTATGTCATCCATAGTTAACAAAGACATATTGTGCTTTTGTCCGCTATATAGTTGTAATTTATGACACCTAAGGATCATTACATTCAATTATGGACATTTTAAATAACAGTATTGATCCAAATTGATGTAATAACAGAAACTGACATTGCTGTAAACATCACCAAGTACCACTCTTTTAACCAGCAGCAGATTTTATTTTATTTTTTCTGCCAAAATGGTTACACAGGAAAACATGGCTCTCTATTCAATACCAGCAATAATACTACCGCAAACTTCAGTGAGGGAAGAAGACACAAAGCGCTGCTGTTGTGAATGTGTGATTGTACATCTACAGGGGGAGTGCTTGAATTTCACGGGACTAATTAGTGCAACACCGGTTAATTACTCTTGTGTATTGATAGTTTGGCTGGAGCAAACTAAAACAGCAAGCTCCACTGAGCCGAACACAGGCGCGAGCTGCATATAGACAACTGCATTAGAGGCGGCACAATAATTAGATTCAGGCAAAGCAAGGCACCACCTGCCCTGTAATTACATTATTAATTATTTCATTTCACAGCACAGACAGGTGTAAAACTTTTCATGACTTTAAAAACATAAAAAGCTAAACTGAAAAAAAAAATAAAAAATGCTATAATTACTGTAAGGTTGTATTTATGAACGCACTAAAATACTTTACGCAATAGGTTTATAAATATCATTCATACTTTGATAAAATGGTAAAGGTGCGCTATGGTCCACCACTGGCTTTTTCCATATTATTATCTATTCCCATAGAGATGAGCAGGTCATGCAATCAGGCCATATTACAGCTCATGTCTATGGAGAGGCAATCCCCATTTACAGTAAAAATAAATCTCTAAATTTATACTGAAGATTTGCCAAGGTTTATGAATTAGTCTTACACAATAACAGTGACACTGAAAATACAAATTTTTGCCTAAATATATAATAAAAAAAAAAGAAAGAAATTTGAACTTTTTACAATAGCAATTAATTTTGTATACATGCATCACGAATTTCGGACTTCCGGTCATCGCTCAATGCATACTGGGAAGGGAAATAGTTTGAACGGAGGTTGGCTGTCACACAGATCTGATTCCCTTTTGCAGTTATGGAGTTCGCAAACTCCCGAAGTCCGTCTCTCGAGTTGTTTTCCACTGTTAGGATCCAACAACCACACAATTACAATCAGTGTTGGGAAGGTTACTTTTAAAATGTATTCCCCTACAGATTACAGATTACATATACCAAAATGTAGTTTGTAACGTAATCCATTAAATTACTTAAAGTGAGTAATGTAATCTGAATACTTTGGATTACTTGATTTGCTGTAGAGAAGCAAAGACGAGGAAATCTTCACATAAGATGTTTTGTCTGCTAAAATAAATAAAAAATAATAAAAAGTCCAGACTTTACTTAATCAAATTAAAAATAGTATTGATAGAAGAGGAAGAGACACGGTCCACACAGCATGGTTTAGTCCTGTTAAATCCTGTTTGAGACATAGTTTAGTCATGGTTTAGTCCTGCTTTAGACATGGTTTAGTCTTGGTTTAGTCTTGGTTTAGTCCTGGTTTTAGACCTGGTTTAGACCTGGTTTAGTCCTAGTTTAGACCTGGTTTAGACCTGGTTTTAGACCTGATTTAGTGTCCGGCAATCAGTGGAATTACCAAAAAAATAAATAAATAAATAAAATAAAAAAAGGGATATAACCCAAAATGTGAAATTTCAACAAAGTAACTGTAATCCAATTACCACTCACTGAAACAGTAACTGTAACCGAATGCAGTTCCTCATAATTTGTACTCTGATTACGTAACTCCAGTACATGTAATCTGTTACTCCCCAACACTGTTTACGATGTCCGAATCCCAAAACTAAAATATGACAATATCAGAACCAGAAACAAAAGCGATATGGTTCAAAAGACTTGAAAAGATCGACTTTGTCAATAGACACATCCCACTGGGAAATCAAACATGGAGGTATGATGCTCACTTTTTTGGAAAATCTTTCCCAGTATGCATTGTGCAATGACCAGAAGTTTGAAATTCGTGATACATGTATTCAGTGTGAGTAAGTGAAATTCACAGTTTTTGAATGTCTGATTTCACTGTTTGATTTGTGTTGGTCTCCAAGTCATCTTAAGTCATTTTTTTCTGTTATACACTTTCTCTACATGTCATGGTAAATGGTCACATTTTTCTACAGCGCTTTTCCACCTTCACTCAAAGCACTTGACAACAAGGAACCACTCACCCATTCACACACACATTCACACACACATTCACATTCACACACACATTCACATTCACACACACATTCACACACACATTCACACACCAGTGTACGCAGACACTGTGGGCAAGGTGGGTTAAGTGGGTTAAGTGTCCAAGGACACATCTGTGGGAGCTGGAATCACACCAGCCAACCTGTGGGTCAGTGGATCTGACCGCTCAACTTGTGATGTTTACATCGAGAGCTGGAATCGAACCACCAACCTTCAAATCAGTGTAGTAAAAAAAAAAAAATAAATCAACCATTTAATTAATTCTTTTGTTTTGTTTTTTCTCGAAAGCCTTAAAAAAAATGACTAATGTTATCACACTAATGTTTTGCAAAGTATCTTTGACCAATGGAAGACCTGTAATTGAATAAAACATTTATAAAAGTTTTATAAATTTAATGCCAAATTGTGGACCCTCCATGAGAAAAGTTGCTTAGTACCTGTAATAGTAACTTAGGTGCAATAAAGTTGAAGGTATATACATTAGAAACCAGTTGTGTTGGGTATGGTAGACAAGACTTCATATGTCCATAATAATGACCCATCCAAATGTTGTTTACACTTTTTATGCATACATTTCAACTGTAAATACATCAAATTAATACTCAGGTTCAAACTTGTGCTTTGTGTTGAGAATGCCTGTTAAGCTACTACATCCTGTGGGGGTTATCTCTGGTTAATTGCTCCCTCGTCATTGGGCATTATCTGCATTGTGACACAAACACAAGAGGCCTTATTAAACGTACAATCCACTCAAAGAGCCATGTTGGCAGCTAATTATATGCTTGTTGGCTTTGTGTACTGTTTCCTGACTGCTGAGTGATTTATTTTTTGCATTAATTCAGTGTCACTTGTTCGACGCCATTGTAACAGCTAATGTGCTTTGTCGACAGAAGACACACGCCACGGTCCCGTCTTCACCCAGGAGCCCAGTGACAGCGTGTTCCCACTGAGCTCCGATGATAAGCAGGTGTTTATTAATTGCAAAGCGAAAGGAAACCCACCTCCGCAATATAGGTGAGTGAAAGTGTGGCTATAAAGGAGATGTAAAAGTGCACTGCAAAACTTTTCTAGTCTGCTATTTGCTTTTCTCCATGGAGATGTTCTTGCTTTGCCTGCAGTGTTACACAGTATAGCACTAAGGTTACTTTTAAAATGTATTCCCCTACAGATTACAGATTACATATACCTAAATGTAGTTTGTAACATAATCCATTAAATTACTTAAAGTGAGTAACGTAATCTGAATACTTTGGATTACTTGATTTGCTGTAGAGAAGCAAAGACGAGGATATTGTAACATAAGAAGTTTTGTCTGATAAAAGAAAATAAAAAGTCCAGACTTTACTTAACCGTATTAAAAATATTATTGATAGAAGAGGAGGAGACACATCCACACAACATGGTTTACTCCTGTTAAATCCTGTTTTAGTCCTGTTTTAGTCCTGGTTTAGTCCTGGTTTAGTCCTGGTTTAGTCCTGGTTTAGACCTGGTTTAGTCCTGGTTTAGTCCTGGTTTAGACCTGGTTTAGTCCTGGTTTAGACCTGGTTTAGACCTGGTTTAGACTCGGTTTAGTCCTGGTTTAGTCCTGGTTTAGACCTGGTTTAGACCTGGTTTAGACCTGGTTTAGACTGGGTTTAGTCCTGGTTTAGTCCTGTTTAGACCTGGTTTAGTCCTGGTTTAGACCTGGTTTAGTCCTGGTTTAGTCCTGGTTTAGACCTGGTTTAGACCTGGTTTAGACCTGTTTAGTTTAGTCCTGGTTTAGTCCTGGTTAGTCCTGGTTTAGTCCTGGTTTAGACCTGGTTTAGTCCTGGTTTAGTCCTGGTTTTCCTGGTTTATTGGTTTAGTCCTGGTTTAGTCCTGGTTTAGCCCAAAATGTGAAAACCATTGTAATGTGTAATCCATTTATTTCAACAAAGTAACTGTAATCTAATTACCACTCACTGAAACAGTAACTGCAACTGAATACAGTTACTCATAATTTGTACTAACTCCAGTACATGTAATCTGTTACTCCCCAACACTGAAAACAATATCATACAAACTTACATGTGTACTGTTACTGGGGTCACCTCTTCACAGATCTGACCTGTAACTTGGTCTGTTTTGGTCTCTATGACAACAGAAAGGGTTAAAACTGTACTGTGAATTATTCCAGATGAAACAATAACATCTCTATGGAGTAAAGTATCTGACAGATCCTCCAACAGTAAAGTTACACAGTGCACCTTTAAACAACTCATTGTGTTCCACGAGTCATTTTTATATCAGTTCGCTTTTGCAGATTTTGAAATAGGAGGCTAATGTTACCATCACTGAGTACTTCAGGGAACAATAGTGCAGGGCTAAAGTGGCTCTTCAGCAAAAATAGTTGTGCAAGTTATGAATTCGTCTTTGGATGTGTGTGCGCAGGTGGAAAGTTGATGGGAGAGAAATAAAGCCGGAGTTGGAGAGCCACTACAGCTTCGTGGAGGGGAATCTTCTGATCAATAACCCCCACGTCATCAATCATGGAGGAGTGTATCAGTGCATCGCTACCAACACGTTCGGCACTGTGGTCAGCAGAGAGGCCAAAGTCCAGTTTGCTTGTGAGTTTATTTTAATGTCATATGTCAAAAGTGTAAGGTTGACAACACTGAAGTGACAAAGCCAAAGGGTGCAAAAAAGACCAGACACAGACAGAGACCTAAAGGTTAGACTCTCTGGCAAACCTACTTAACCACCTGTGTAACAGTTTGCATGTGAGTGTTTTTTCAAAGACGTTTTTTTTGTAACATTTCTACTGGACAGTCTGCCACCTGCTTGTCTCCATGGAAATGTTAAGACTTTACTTAGGATGTTGCACAGTATGACAAATGAATCTGCCTTGGATTTATTTGATTGCAGGTATTATTGCTCAAAAATACAAAATTAGAATAATAATAATAATAATTACTATAGTGACTTATCATCTAATGTATGAAAACTGGAACAATATATTTTGGGGCTCAGTATGTATTGTGTGTCCATTTACTCAGTGTTGGGAAGGTGACTTTTCAAATGTAATCCCCTACAGATTACAGATTACATACCCCAGAATGTAGTTTGTAACGAAATCCATTAAATTACTTAAAATGAGTAACGTAATCTGATTACTTTGGATTACTTGATTTGCTGTAGAGAAGCAAAGACTAAGATATCGCAACATAAGATGGTTTGTTTGCTAAAAGAAAATTAAAAGCCCAGACTTTTTCTGAACCATATTAAAAATATTATTGATAGAAGACGAGGAGACACGTCCACACAACATGGTTTAGTCCTGTTAAATCCTGTTTTAGTCCTGATTTAGTTCTGTTTAGTTCTGGTTTTAGATCTGTTTTAGACCTGGCTTAGACCTGGTTTAGATCTAGTTTAGATTTAGTTTAGACCTGGTTTTAGTCCTGGTTTAGTCCTGGTTTAGACTCAGTTTAGACCTGGTTTAGATCTAGTTTAGATCTAGTTTAGTCCTGGTTTTAGTCTTAGTTTAGACCTGGTTTAGACCTGGTTTAGATGTAGTTTAGACCTGGGTTTAGTCCTGGTTTAGTCCCCGGGGGGGGGATGTGAAATGTGAAAACAGGAAAATATTGCCTTGTAATCCATTTATTTCAACAAAGTAACTGTAATCCAATTACCACTCACTGAAACAGTAAGTAACTGTAACTGAATACAGTTACCCATAATTTGTACTCTGATTACATAACTCCAGTACATGTACTCTGTTACTCCCCAACACTGCATTTACTTTGTACTACGAGGGATGTTTGTTGCTATTTTTAAGTAATAAGGTAGGATTTGATCTGTAAAGAGTAGAATAAATAGCTTATATAGTTAATTATTGATGCATTCTGCTATTTATTTAATGCAGTTCGTGCCTTTTAATGGTACTGCCTAAAAGCTGGTTTACTCTGATTATCTTGCTTTGTATGTGACATGCATCGTGCTTCAAAATGTGTTATTGTGGCAGGCCTAAGACTGTAACATTTCAGACAAAGCAATAGTGACTGAATTGACAAAGCTAAAGAATGGGAAATAGACAAAACCATAGACTAAACATAGTCTATGGACATAAAAAAAAAAAAAAAAAATAGACTGGAACAGTTAAATTTGGTGAAATGTCTTCCCTTTGAGGACACACTCACAAAGTAGAAATTGAACTGGCAACTCTCTAGCACCTGTTTAACCTCCTGTGCCATTTTTGCAATCATATTATTTAGTGACCAGAAATAACAGATAATTACTGATCACAATCACATGAAGAGTTATTTAGGAGCCAAATTTCTAAAATGTGTTGTTGATTGAGTGAACTTATGAACTCATAAACTCACTGCCCACCTCCAACAAAAACTTTACAATAAAAATATTGATGTGCATTTGGACTTCCACAGCCTAAACCCTGGCAATGGTGGCTACTATTATATGCACCTGAATTTGCAGTTCCGATCTTTACACTCTGTGTATTTCCTGTCTCTTGTGGTATTTGTAAGCCCTGGCATTGATATGTCTTGATATGTCTCCCCATAGTTTTTTTCTCTCATGTGGTAAAGCGGCATTTAATTAAAGGTGAAAGTAATATCTCCAGCTCCATTAGCGAGGAGCTTTGTTGTGTGCCCTCTGGCCCAGCTCTGCTCTTTATCTGCTGCATCTCACACTGCGATATTAACAGGGGGCTCTGGGCCGGTCTCGGTCTGAACACAGGAAATATTCTGTTCACTCAAGTGCCCTTCTCTACGTTTCACGTTCCAATCCACTTTCCCCAACCTATAAGCATTGAACCTGTGTCTTCATGTTATATTCTACAGTTTTGCAGAACTTCAGCCAGAAGATGAGGAACACAGTGTCAGTGAGGGAGGGTCAGGCTGTGGTGCTGCTCTGTGGACCCCCGCCACATTATGGAGGTAAGACTTTGTTATTCTGTAGGAGTAAGCTGCAACTAAAACTCTTCCTCTTCACTATATCAAGTAGAGTGTTGTGTAACCACAGCATGGGTGAAACTGCCCTATGTTTAAACTGTCAAAAATAGTTTTATACCGTTATCAAGAGAACTTTCTTGCTGGGAGACCTTTTTAATTCTGCTAAATTGTGCACATCAAGTAGATGGGGTATTAGAAGCACAGTCTTCATGGCATAATAATAATGCTTGATGGGACAATGATATGGGCCAAAATCCCTTCTTTTTAGGGGCCCCATTGTGTTTTAAAATGTTTAGAGAAATCTATAATTAAACCCACAGAAGAAAGCAGATGAAATATATGGCATACAGACCCTGGTTGTCTTAAAGGTGCTCAATGTCATTTCTGTGTCAGAGGGTCTGCTACCTACTTGTCTTGATGGAAATACTATTGTATTTCCTGGAATGTCCCATAGTATAGCATTAAATCTCCATGGAAACAAGCAAGTGATGCCAAAAGAACATGTTCCGGGTCAAATCTTTGGTGAGGCAACCACTCTCACTGTAAAAATGCATATTTGTTATACTGTTTTTGAGCTATAAAACACTTGTAAATTAAATAAAATTAAATTAAAGCTAGATAGGTTTAATGCTGTACAGGCAGAGTAATAACAGCTCCATAAAGATTAACAGGCACCTTAAATAACTAATAAATGTCTTACAATTGACTGCTTGTTTTCTGAGTCAGTTCTCCATAGACATGTGTTTTGGATTAGTTGTAAAGGTAACGCATGTTCAGTGTAATGTAGATGTAATCCTCATAATCCTAATTGGAACAGGCTCACAATCAATTTGTCCTGGGATTATCAGTATTCCCACATCTGTACAACTCCTTAAACTAATTTCACAGTGTCTTTTTTACTTTACCTGGTTGTCAAAAGTATAAAAAAATCAGACACTAATGAATACTAAAACAAATATTGAAACTAGAAACAAATTTTAGCAGATATCAGTACTAAAAATATCAAATTCAGTATCAGAGCAAGTATAAAATCACATACACAAGTATAAGGACTAGGGCCTGTCCAATATATCAGTTGGTCGATATTATCGGCCGATATAGGCGCCTGGAAACATATCGGCCGATATTGCCAAAAATCTTGTGATATTTTCCCGTGGGCATGTTATACCTTGTTTTAAAGCTCAAACTTTCACTTTATGTTCATTTAATCCAATTTACACACAGATAAATGTCCAAATATGTGGCTCTGCGTCAGTATTTATCATTTGTCTGTGTGTGTGTCGTACTGTCCCTGAACACACCCCCAGAGTCACGTCACTCGTGTGTTTGTTTACACCCACAGACACAGATCCAAACACTGAGATTATATTCTTTTTATGGACAATCTGTTTGAGTCAGAATTAAAAGGACATTTATTAGTGCAGACTTGTGATGTGAGAGGAGCCTGTGTGAGCACTGAGTGTTGGAAATATGTCGACTTTGAAGCTAGTTTTGGTTCTTTCTCATTGGTTAGCGATTAGCTGCTGTAGCTCCCACACATAAACAGACTGTTTTCTATTGGTCTATTGTAAAGTAACTATATTGGCCGTATATTTGTTACTGGACCTGCATTGATATGTAAATTAGCTGTGAATACAGGTGTGAATGATCCACATTTATGCATATAATTAATTACCGGGGACATGGAATGTCACCTCGCTGGGGGGGAAGGAGCCTGAGCTTGTGCAGGAGGTTGAGCGTTACCGACTAGATATAGTCGGCCTCACCTCCACGCACAGTTTGGGCTCTGGAACCCAACTCCTTGAGAGGGGCTGGACTCTCCATTTCTCTTGCGTTGGCTGCGGGGAGCGGCGGCGGGCTGGTGTGGGCTCATTGCCCCACAGCTCAGCCGCTGTGTGTTGGATTTTACCCCTGTGAACGAGAGGGTCGCGTCCCTGCGCCTTAGGGTCGGGGACAGGTCTCTCACTGTGGTGTCGGCCTACGGGCCAAACAGCAGTGCAGAGTACCCGGCCTTCTTGGAGTCCCTGGGAGTCCCTGTTCTACTGGGGGACTTCAACGCCCACGTGGGTAACGACGGTGACACTTGGAGAGGGGTGATTGGGAGGAACAGCCTCCCCGATCTGAACCCGAGCGGTGTTTTTTGTTATTGGACTTCTGTGCTAGTCACAGTTTGTCCATAACCAAACACCATGTTTGAGCACAAGGGTGTCCATAAGTGCACGTGGCACCAGGACACCCTAGGCCGGAGGTCGATGACGACTTTGTAGTCGTGTCATCTGACCTCTGGCCGTGTGTCTTGGACACTCGGGTGAAGAGAGGGGCTGAGCTGTCAACTGATCACCACCTGGTCGTGAGTTGGTTTCGCTGGTGGAGGAGGAAGCTGGAAAGACCTGGCAGGCCCAAGCGTGTAGTGAGGGTCTGTTGGGAACGTCTGGCAGAGCCCTCTGTCAGAGGGACTTTCAACTCGCACCTCGAGAAGGACTTCTCCCGGATTCCGGGGGAGGCTGGGGACATGGAGTCTGAGTGGGCTTCGTTCTCGGCCTCTATTGTCAATGCGGCCACTCGTAGCCGTGGACGTAAGGTCTGTGGTGCCTGTCGCGGCGGCAATCCCCGAACCCGGTGGTGGACACCGGAAGTAAGGGATGCTGTCAAGCTGAAGAAGGAGTCCTATCGGTCTTGTTGGCTCGTGGGACTCCTGAGGCAGCTGATGGGTACTGGTGGGCCAAGCATGCTGCAGCCCGTGTGGTTGCAGAGGCAAAAACTCGGAGCTGGGAGGAGTTCGGGGAGGCCGTGGAGGAGGACTATCAGACGGCCTCAGAGAGATTCTGGCAAATTGTCCGGCACCTCAGGAGGGGGAAGCAGTTCTTCACCAACACTGTTTACAGTGCGGGGGGAGAGCTGTTGACCTCGACTGGGGACGTTGTCCGGCGGTGGAAGGAATACTTTGAGGATCTCCTCAATCCCACCGTCACGTCTTCCGAGGAGGAGGCCGAGGCTGGGGACTCGGAGGCGGACTCGTCCATCACCCTGGCTGAAGTCACTGAGGTGGTTGGCAAGCTCCTTGGTGGCAAGGCTCCGGGGGTGGACGAGATCCGTCCTGAGTACCTTAAGTCTCTGGATGTTGTGGGGCTGTCTTGGCTGACACGCCTCTTCAACATCGCGTGGCGGTCGGGGACAGTACCTCTGGACTGGCAAACCGGGGTGGTGGTCCCTCTGTATAAGAAGGGGGACCGGAGGGTGTGTTCCAACTTACAGGGGGATCACACTTCCTCAGCCTTCCCGGTAAGGTCTATGCCAGGGTACTGAAGAGGAGAAATTCCGGCCGATAGTCGAACCTCGGATTCCATTAGGAGCAATGTGGTTTTTCGTCCTGACCGTGGAACACTGGACCAGCTCTACACTCTCCATCGGGTGCTCGAGGGTTCATGGGAGTTTGCCCATCCAGTCCACATGTGTTTTGTGGATCTGGAGAAGGCATTCGAACCGTGTCCCTCGTGGTGTCCTGTGGGGGGCGCTCTGGGAGTATGGGGTTCGTGGCCGGGGACCTTTGCTAAGGGCTGTTCCGGTCCCTGTATGACCGGAGCAGGAGCTGTGTTCGCATTGCTGGCAGTAAGTCAGACCTGTTCCCGGTGCATGTTGGACTCCGCCAGGGCTGCCCTTTGTCACCAGTTCTGTTCATTATATTTATGGACAGAATTTTCTAGGCGCAGTCAGGGGCCGGAGGGGGTCCGGTTTGGGGACCACAGGATCTCATCTCTGTTGTTCGCAGATGATGTTGTCTTGTTGGCTCCATCAAACCAGGACCTACAATGTGCACTGGGGCGGTTTGCAGCCGAGTGTGAAGCGGCTAGGGATGAAGATCAGCTCTTCCAAGTCCGAGGCCATGGGTTTTCGACCAGAAAAAGGTGGCTTGCCCTCTCCGGGTGGGTGGGGAGTCTTTGCCTCAAATGGAGGAGTTCAAGTATCTCGGGGTCTTGTTCACGAGTGAGGGAAGGACGGAACGTGAGATTGACAGGCGGATCGGTGCAGCGTCTGCAGTGATGCGGTCGCTGTATCGGACCGTTGTGGTGAAGAGGAGCTGAGCCGAAAGGCAAAGCTCTTGATTTACCGGTCAGTCTTCGTTCCTACTCTCACCTATGGTCATGAGCTCTGGGTAGTGACCGAAAGGACGAGATCGTGGATACAAGCGCTTGAAATGAGTTTCCTCCGCAGGGTGGCTGGGTGCTCCCTTAGAGATAGGGTGAGGAGCTCAGTCACACGGGAGGAGCTCGGAGTAGAACTGCTGCTCCTCCACGTCGAAGAGGAGCCAGTTGAGGTGGCTTGGGCATCTGTTCCGGATGCCTCCTGGACACCTCCCAAGGGAGGTGTCCAGGAGGACACGCTGGAGAGACTATGTCTTTCGGCTGGCCTGGGAAAGCCGGAGGAGCTGGAGGATGTGTCTGGGGTGAAGGAAGTCTGGGAGTCCCTGCTTAGACTTTTGCCCCCGCGTCCCGGCCCCGGATAAGCGGAAGAAAATAGATGGATGGATTAATTACCGTGGCGCGCACGTTTTTACAGCTAAAGGCTAATAGAGGTAGTTTACTTTCTTTAGTGTGTGTAGTGATGGGTCGGTCGCGAACGAAACGGCTCTTAGAGTCGGCTCTTTGAAGCAAACGACAGGAGCCTGATCCTTATTGGGAGCCGTGTTTTCTCTTTCTCTCACTTTTTTTTTCTTCACGTCACGTGCAGACTCGTGGGAGTTCGACAGCGGCAGCGACTGAAAACAAAACTTTCAGAAACCTGCGTGTGCATAGGAGAGAAAAAAAACATGCATATTTGGCTGTAGTTCAGCATAAAATAAATAAACCAGCACTAATCTTGGTCACGAGAGAGGGAGAGAGAGAGAGATAGAGACTGAGTCCCGACACTCAGTCCTGGTTCAGTTCTGGTTTAGTCCTGTTTTACACATGGTTTAGATCTGTTTTAGTTCTGGTCTAGTCCTTTTTGAGTCCTGATCTAGACCTGGTTCAGTTCTAGTTTAGTCCTGCTTGCAACAAAATAACCTAAAGAGCCAGTTCAGGTTCTCTAAAAAGAACTGGAATACCCATCACTAGTAGCTAGAATGTGATGCAAAAATGCCATTAGGCCGACCTACTGTCTGTAAATATGACGTAAAGAGTCAGAATAACAATAAATGTTGCCTAAATAAACCCAATTTAAAATCCACTAGAGCCAAACCTTTTTTTTAAACAATTCAAGATAACAGTGAATTTTTACATCATTAATATATCAGCGATTATATTGGCTATCGGCAGCTCCAACTCATTTTATCAGTATCATATCGGCCGCAACTAAATCCATATCGGTTGGGCTTTAGTAAGGACCACTATTTAACCTACCTGGATGACTGACATTATCAAGGTATCAGAAATTTTAGTATCGTGGCAACAGCACTTGACTATGCGTCCAAACTTCAGTCTTAACTCTTATCTTTTACCCATAACTTGCTTGACCGTCCCTTCTCCAGTTTCACAGCCACACTTCATAACCTTATAGAGTTCTCTTTCCCCACCCATCTGGTCCCCATGCGTTGTTCCTCTCCTCTTCCCTGGGTACGTGCAGGTTATCGGCGGCTAATAAAGTGTTTTGGTGGATAGAGGGGAGGCTTTATCCAGTGGCACAGCTGTGAGCCGGCCTCGTGCTTGTCTGTGTGCTGCTGATTATGAGCTCTCAAAGTGGCCCAGACTGCCGTGGCCGCTCCATGCCCACCAGCGCAATTTCACGCCAGCCTTCGTTCGGAGCCCAATCCTGCACACACATGGGATTCCGCACTTTAGCAATTTGCCCTCCAGTCTTCCCGCCTTCTCTCTTTTAAATCCGCTTTATTTCTCCTCCTGAGTTCAGTGTAGTCTCACATAGAGATTGTACAGTAGAAATGTTTTTGTATTTTGTGTCTCGAGTCTCTTTCTCTATAGTTATTTAATCTACATACCAGTCAGAAGTTTGGACACACCCTGCCACTCAAACTTTTTTTTTTCTTACAATTTTTTTACATTTTATAAACATATGAAACATGTTTTAAAGTAATTATCAGTGTTTATGTTTTGTTGTATTGTATATTGTCAGGATAACATAAGATTACTCTTCTTTCTGCTCTTTCATTCATTTCTTGTATTTTTAACGTTATGACGCTGTTTATGTTTGTTTTTTTTGTTTTTTTTTTACTTTATGCGTGAAATAAATAAACAAATACATCAGCAGTGTTGGGGAGTAACAGATTACATGTACCGGAGTTACGTAATCAGAGTACAAATTATGAGTAACTGTATTCAGTTACAGTTACTGTTTCAGTGAGTGGTAATTGGATTACAGTTACTTTGTTGAAATAAATGGAAACAAAACCAAGTCTAAACCAGGACTAAACCAGGACTAAAACCAGGTCTAAACCAGGTCTAAACCAGGTCTAAAACAGGTCTAAAACAGGTCTATAACAGGACTAAACCAGGACTAAACAGGACTAAAAAGGACTAAAACCAGGACTAAAAGGACTAAAACAGGACTAAAACAGGACTAAACCATGCTTTGCGGACATGTCTCCTCCTCTTCTATCAATAATATTTTTTATACAGTTAAGTTAAGTCAGGACTTTTTATTGTCTTTTAGCAGACAAAACATATTATATTACGATATCCGAGTCTTTGCTTCTCTACAGCAAATCAAGTAATCCAAAGTATTCAGATTACATTACTCACTTTAAATAATTTAATGGATTATGTTACAAACTACATTTTGGGGTATGTAATCTGTAATCTGTAGGGGAATACATTTTAAAAGTAACCATCCCAACACTGTACATCAGATATATGAAGCAAGTTATTTGGAATTATTTTGATAAAGCAAAGGGTGGCAAATTTGTACTTACTTCATATATTTGATGTCTTTTGTATGTATGTCAAGTGTAGTAAGTTGTAAACCTACAGGGAAAAAAAAAAGATGGATGAGAGTCCAAAACTTTGACTGGCAGTGGATATTTCACCAGTGTTTAACTTGGTAAAATGGGATCCACTTTGATAAACCAGAATACAGTAAAAGTGAGTGTTAATTGTTTGTGTTTCATTAAGAATAGGATAATAACGTGTGAAAAATGAAAAAATCCCACCCCAACAGTAAAGTACCACGATGCATACCTTATTGAACTTGACACTTCGTACGGTACATTTTTTTAGCTGAACTCTGCCGATAATAATCCTTTGTTAATAAACTTAGAAATACTGGCATTTAACTCGTGTGTTATAGGAAGTCAATGTGTTGGGCATGAATTAGCACATACTATATAAGAAGCAGTCTGTAGGCTCATTTGAGGAGAGATATTTTCTGCTGTGTTCGGTTGCTCTGAGACCGAGGTGTCAGATAGTTCCTAATCATGACAGTTCTGCAGTCTTATGCAGTATTCTCTCTCTAGTCATTTTAATTTGCAGTGCTCCCTCCAGGAAATGAGTTGGACAGTGTCAAGTGTGACCAGTCAAAAGGCACACGACTGCTTTATAGTAATCTAGACTCAAATTGCTCCTAGCCTCACCCATGATTTGCCCATCCACTGTTTCTTTTAGGCATTGAGGACTTTTCATTTTGTCTTCTTTTTATAGAGAAACGTTGTGTTTTCTTCAAATAAGACTTATTGCACACACTTGTTGTTAGCGCTCTTTCTTATACATGTGTAATGGTTCCTTGGCAATTTTCAGAAATCACAGTGACTCTTGTTAAACTTATAAAACGTGTGAAAACCAAGCAGAACATTATGTTATGTTTTCAGCTATCCTGTTTTTCTCCTTTTTTCATTTTATTTGTGAAAATGGTCAGGATAAAAACAAATGCTTTATGTATGGCTTATGTGTTACTTTGTATAACTCTTTGATGTAGATTAAAGAGCAGTAATTCTGACTACTGCACACCAAATTATGGGCCTCACACATGAATGTTTTGCTAAAACAATGTAAATGTTTCTTGAGAAAGTTTTAACTTCTTTAGAATGATTCATGTGTTTCTTATTTGAAATTCCGCAAAGATCTCTCTGTGTAGCCTGTTTTTGATGTAATTTTTTTTATATATATATATATATATATATATATATATCTATTTGGTAATATTTAGTTTAAAGAACTATTATGCAAAACTGACTCTTATGAGCTTTAAGCCATAATGCTGTTACCTCATCAAGAACATACCTGGAGTTGTGTTTTGTTTCATTCACGCATGTTTGAGTAACACTGCATTAACACGCTTAAAATGCTCTTTTCCACAGGTGATGCCATGAAGCGGTAATTTTCATGTTGAAAGCTTCCTTTTACCTTTAGTTTAGTAGAGATTGGCAATTCCAGGGCTGAAATGATCCAAATTATTCTAGTGAAGATGTATGGAGTTTAAAAACACAGTGGAGCTCTTCCTGCATTGCCACATGACATCACAAGGTGGAACAGAGTGTTTTTCGTTTGAGAGAAGAACTATACTATATGAATGTAGAACCCCCAGAGTGCACTACATACATAAATGGATGCATTTGCAACGAATCATGTTTACCCTCTCTGCCTTGTTTATGTCTCACAGAGATCAAATATTCCTGGGTTTTCAATGGTCAGCGTGGATTCCTCCAGCAGGACGCCCGCCGTTTCATCTCACAACGAACAGGAAACTTGTACATCGCCAAGGTGGAACTTTCAGACCAGGGCAACTACACATGTGCTGTGAGAAATATGATGACCAATACCAGTGTGCTGAGCTCCCCTACCCCAGTGGTCCTGCGCAGAGACGGTAAGCTAGCACGGCCTCTAGCAACACATAGCGAGAAAACCCGAGATAAATGACCTGTCATCTCTGTCTGACTCTTTGTACTTCTGCATGTGTCTGTCGGACCAGTAAACCCATTTGAAATATAAAGAGTCAGTTATGCAAGAAAGCATACCTACAAGCACGAAGGCACACATTTGGATAAGCAGAGGCAGAGTGGTTTTCCTGTCAGAATAGTTTATGCCTATAGATTTCACACACAGAGGCAGAGAAGTAATCTGAACTCATCCATCCGCTGTCCTCTACCACATCATCAAAACTGTTCACTGGGCCTGACAGTCACTCACATTCTTACCTTCACAGAATGTCAAACACAAAAGTATGTTTCGTGTGGGTTTAAAGTTGCAACAGACACATAAAGCAAATGTATCTATCTGTAATATGTATAAACTGTTTCTATTTAAAGGACTTCTGATCAAGTATCTGAGTACTGATTCAGTACAGATGTCATTTATAAGCACCTCTTGAGATTAAAATAAATCCACTGTGCAGTGTCTACATGTAATTATAAACTCTTTTATTGCCTGAGATTCAGAAAGTGCTTGCTCAGCATGCTTGTTGTTGTCATTACCATGATGGCAAACCTCTGTTCTGGTCTCTGAAAGTTGTAGAAAGCACTTCTAACTAATTCAGAATATCTCTGGACTACTACAAACCATGAAATGAGCTACTTCTGTTTTACACATTTTTAAGACAGGTAGAAATACCTTTTAAGCAACATTAACATTTTTTATGTTTTATTATATATTTATTTATATTTTATTTATATATATTTTTTCCTTATGGAAATAAGAAATGTCTGTTTAATTTCTTAGCTATCAAGATAGGGTCTATAACAAAAGAAAATTGGATACTGTCGCCTGAACAAAAGTTTTTACATATATGTTTCACTTATTCTAAAAGCTTCTTCAGTTCTGACACGGTTCAGGTATGTCCTTACCTAAAAAATATGTGTGAATGGAGGACTAAATTGGAACTAACAAATCCTAGTTGTATTTACAGTAAAGATTATATGATATCAGTTAGGTGTTATGAATTACCCTAAGCTGTGAACCATCACATGAGTCATAGTTTGCATAATTGTTCATAGCCCTAATTGGAATAAAGTTAATCAAACAGCTTTGCAGAGACCTTGTATAGTTTTAGCCAAAGCTGCAGTAAAAAGGTTTGAACAGCTCTGTTTCTGGTTTGGGGGCTTAAATGTATTTACAGATGTTGTTCTCTTTGTCATGCAGCTGTGATGGGTGAATATGAACCTAAAATTGAGGTCCGTTTCCCTGAGACTCTCCATGTCTCCAAGGGATCTTCAGTGAAGTTGGAGTGTTTTGCCTTAGGAAAGTAAGTGCCCTCCAATGACAAAGTGTGTGGACAGCTTTTGTTTCACCTGAGGTACCACTGACCTTCTACTGTGACCTCCACAGCCCAGTGCCGTCCATCTCATGGAGAAGAGCTGACGGAAACCCACTCCCTGGCAAGATTAAAATCAACCACTCCAGCGGGGTCCTGGAAATCCCATACTTTCGCCCTGAGGATGCGGGTGTGTATGAGTGCGTGGCCCAGAACAGTAGAGGTCGAAACGCCGCCAGAGGACAACTCATATTCTATGGTAAAAGACACATTCTGTTTGTACATGCTTCTGCTGATTATTGATCTAAATAAATGGAATTACGTCTTTTTAATTTAAAACATCTCATAATGTCTCCATAACATTTCAGTAACATTAAAACAGAGGAATAGCATAACTTGCATGTCATACTGAACATTCTGGTAATACAATTTCATAACAATGGTTCATTTCAACAGATGTGGAACATCTGCACTGGGCCCACACTCTAAAAGACACACAGATGGCCATTGATACAAACCTGCAGTGGGAATGTAAAGCCTTAGGGAAACCCAGGCCTACATACAGGTGGCTGAAGAATGGACAGCCTCTAACATCACAGGTACGTTCTGTAAAGGTCAGCCACAATGAATGAGTCATAATAATTTCAAGGTACTGCATGTATGTGTTACCTTGCACCTGTAAATGCTTATATATCGAACACCACTGAAGTGTACTTTGTTGCAGGGCCGGCACTATGTAGACTGTGGGACACTGTCTATCTCTAGAATCAGCCTGTCTGATGCGGGCATGTACCAGTGTGTGGCAGAGAATGACCTAGGAGCTGTGTATGCCAGTGCGGAGCTCAAGGTTGTTGGTAAGAAATTGCTTGTGTTTACAATATATAACTTGCAATTAAAGAAACCTTATGAAGTTTGTGACCAGTCTGTGTTGTCATCCAGCATATAAAAAATAATAATAAAAAAAAATAAAATAATAATAATAAATATGTATGTATATATATATATATATATATATATATATATATATAATAATGCCACCATCACTCACCATTTTCATACCAGGCAATGTGGGTGAAGAGCCTTGCCTAAGGACACAACAACAGTTTTTGCGACTGGCACCCCACTGTGGCACCTGACTTTCCCAGAGGTCTCCCATCTAAGCACTAACCAGGCCCAGCCTTGCTTAGCTTCTTAGATCTGATGGGATCAGGCTTTGAGAAGCTGGTATGGCCACAATCCAAAATGATTCTCAAAAATCTTTGTTTGGTGCCTCTCAGCCTCCCCCCCGGACTTTAGCCAGCGGCCTGTGAGGAAGTCCACGGTGGTGCAGAAGGGAGGAGAGCTGCTCCTGGAGTGCCGGCCCTCTGCCTCCCCTCGGGCTCTGGTCTTCTGGTGGAGATGGGGCCAGCTGCTTAAGGACACAGAGAGGTGGGCTTCACTATATGCTAAGTATACAGTCTGTATTAGGTCTGACACGTGATGATATATTTTAGTAAGGACACTGTTAAAGAAAGTGGCATAGGACAAACGAGAATAGTGTAGACTTTCTTTGTATTTCTCTGTACTGAGTTGTATTATGGGATTAACAGTGCCATAAGCAGCTTTTAGAAAATCCACCAGTGCCTGAAAGCAAACCAGCACTAATTACTGTAGTTACAAACGAGGATGAGAAATTAAAGCTACAAACACAGACTTGAAACACATGCTTAGAATTTAATACCACATTAACTTTGTAATTTTTCCTAATGTAACATGTTTTCTTGTTTTCTTGTTCATTCTATCGTCGGCTGTAAGGCTCTGGCCTGACATACATAACAATCCTGTAACTGATTGTTCCCATGTCATTTGATTAAGATTTGCCTTGGGGTCAAAATATGTCCACTGTGTGTGCACTGTGTGGAGATATTTTATTTTCCAATAATCAGGAAGTGTGTGCTAGCGTGCTATTTTTTATTTTATTATAATTTTTTTAATCTCTGGTCTCTTAGAGCTGTGAAAAGCACTTATAAACTCATTGTGAAGATTGGCTTGTAGCTAGCAGCCAAAACATGCCAACAAGGTAAATACACCTCTGCTATATTGTCTTTAAAAAGAACCCAAGTTGCTAATGCATAAAAGAAGACAAAAGGACAAAATGTGTGTTTTTGGATTATGTGAGTGAGGAAACTTTGGTAACTTTGGTAACTTTGGACACTGCAAAACATTTAAAATTAACTAGCTCTGCTTTTCAGTAGAAATCAGGACCAGTGCTTAATGGTTGAGGCATATGAACAGAAATATGTGTGAAAGTGTTTCATAGCTCATAGAGGAGGAAGTAAAGTAGAGCCCCTGCAGTGTTGGTCACTGTGTAAAAAGCAAAAGAGGAAACAGTAAGAAACTCCCCCTCTGGCTCTGGTACAGGATGCACAGGGTCATGATTTAAGGTCGGAGGCAGCGAAATCCTTGGCCTCAGTAGAAATGAACTGAACAAGCAATACCTAGTCCAGGCGCAGTGAGGAAGCAGCTTTCATAAAGTGCTTGTCATGTCAGTTCTTGAAAAAGAGGAGACCAGTGAACTGTGAACACTATAAGGTTAGTGTATTCAATTGTGTTCGCAAGTAAAACAAAAACAGTCATTCTTGCATTTCCTGTCTTTCCTATACTTTGCATCCTTCACCTTGGCAGCCCCTTTCTTATCAGTAGTACAGCGTGCATCTTATATCTTGAGCTGAAACATATCTCTCCTTGTAATATGTTTGCTTAGCTCCTTACACTCAATGATGTATTCTTATCCAAACAATTGTGCAGATTCCCCAGCGTGTAGAGCTAAGTACAAGCACAATGTCATTGTATTAAGATTTTGCCCCCCTTAAACCCCAATTAGGAATTCATATCATTCAAAGCAGGAATCGCTGACATTATACACACAGTTAATTAGAAAAACATATATGTTTACATAGGTTTACATTATCTGTGAGGGGACCATGGGATTTCATGAGCCCTGTAGCCCATGTGATCATATATAGACATGTAGAGTTTTTCAAGAATCAAACAAAGCAGAGTTTACTTGCTGTGAGCCTGCTGTGAGCAGCTTGTATAGATCTATTAAGAGTGTGCTCTGCCATAATCTATTTGTATTAAAACGCTGCTTACAATGCTTTTTACTGCTTTTAATTAACGGCACAGTGTGCTCTGATTCTGCCTTACTAAACAAGAATCAGGCAATACATCAATTGTATGTTTTGCTACATTTCATCTAAAGGAACTGTATGTAAGCTGTGCTCTTACTATTTTATAAAGGTATAAGGCATAAGGTACCGCAATCCCAACTGAATCTTACTTGTGAACCTGCCTATAGTTGATATATACAAATCAGTAAATATAACTCAACATTAGGATTGTTAAATAAAATTTATACTTGATTGAACATGTTTTCTTCATATTCTGGGAAACAGATAGGAAATCTTTTCATTTTAAAATTATGTCATACCTTTCCTTTAATGTATCTGTAAATAACTGGAAAGAAACATCAATATCCAGCTTTAAATCAGATTACTTTCATTATTCATTCATGCAGTTGTCCGTCAATACAAGACCATCAAAATATTAATAATAATTTGACAATTTAGTATAATTTATGGTGTATGGTTAATTTGATCTTGAATGTCTGTGTTAGATACAATTCCACAGTGGTTGCTACAAAACAGTTCAGCTCTTCTTATCTTCTACATCAATAAACAGCCACATTTCCATAGACTTACCAACTCAGTAAACCTGCCCCAACATGTGACCGGCAAGATTGATTCTTTATCATATCCTCTGTGGCTGCTCACAAGGAAAACTGGAAAAATTACTCAGTCGTTTGCCAGGCTTAGTGTTTGGACAAGAAAAGCAATTTGCCGTGTGAATTCCGTGTGTAACGCAGATAGGTCTTTACATTGTGCAGCTGATTGGCCTTCGGGTCATGTTCTCAGTGCACCTCCATCACTCACTGTTTGATTTTTTTGTCAATAAATCAGCACAAAGCACCATATGTCAGACATGCTCCCTGGGTCTCTGCTCGACTCAGCTGGATGCATATTTATTCCTGGGGCTGATGTGAAATTGTTTGATTTCCAAAGCGGCTGCTAGCTGCATTACACTGTTTGATTTAAATCCAAAGGTCACAAATAAGGGCGTTATCAGCCTGATATATACATGGTTATATGTTTTTTGAATGTCTTATCTGAGGGAAGGGCAGGGGTGTTTAGGGCAGGGGACAAGCAAAGCACGACTATCCATGCAGGCATATTTTCTTACTGCTCTTGGAGTGTCTGGGGAGACAAAAGACAACCAGCATGGATGTGCTGGTATTGATCTTAATATTATGCACTGCGACTAACAGTGAAAATGTGGGGAAAAGAATCAATCTCCTTCTCTATATCAATGCAGTAATTTCATTAAAAAGACTTGGCTTGGTGAGTTGCTCTGCAGATTGGACTAGATGAAAAAAATGTAATAATATAAAGATTACAAAAGAGTGGTGAGATCTGAGGGTGTATGGCCCTGAGAGACCTTTCAAGATTATTTGAAATCAAATAAAAATCACAATTTTAATGGATCATACAATTTTAATGGACCGTGCATTTCTTCCACAAGCAACAAAATATCTTGTCTTATTCTGCATAATGTTAGAAATATAAAGGGTCCTATCTTGCCCCTTATCTTAACACTAGCGCTAAAGACTGAGCGTGTCCAGGTCGGGCTGTACTTCACTGCTGGGGGTACATATAGTCAGTACATACATATATATATACATATATATATATATATATATATATACAAGCACATATATGGTGATGACGTCGCAACCTGTGATCTGTGACCAGTGTAAGCATGTACATGCGCACACACATAAACCTTTTTAGTTTTTTTTTAGTTAGGGTTTTTTGTTTGTTTGGGGTTTTTTTGCATTATTGCATTCGCTTGCCTCTCATTATGCAGCAGACCAGTGTCTATCTCATGCACTCATACCACAACAGACCCGCTGACCACTGCTCTCCCTCTGGACTCACCCGCCATCACCTGCCCCAGTGTTCTGTCGAAATGGGTTACCCCCTTGAAATGAGCTACCAGCAGCCTAAATCGACAGTGCCATCTATCGATTCACACTACCCCGTCGAAATAAGATACCTTACATTTTCCATTTACAGTTGTGTAGATTCAATAAAGCCTAACCTCCACAGTTTTACAACATATTTCTCTGGATTAGAGACAGCAGGTTTTATGCTGTTTGCTCACAGTGATCATAGTTTATATCTTAGTTATGTCATATTTCAATGCATTTATATGAATATGCCTAGTTCATTTCAACAGTCGTGTTATGCTATCAAATAGGGCTCCAGTCACCATTATTCACTCATTAATATGTATCTGGGCAGAGGTAGCTCATTTCAGCAGGCCTATCTTCTATCAAATAAGGCTCCCACAATAGAAGAGAAAGAAATTACTGGAAACATCGAAATCTTTATATTAAATAGTGTTAAATATTGTATATTTAATATATATTTAACACTAATATCATAGGCTCCAATGTGAATTTCCTACTATAATATAGTGACATTTTATTTTTAAGTCTTTCTAAACAAAGTTCCAACATTTTCTACACATGGAAACAAAATCAAATATGATGTAATGAACAGTAAAATCAAATATTAAATCCAAACTATTCAGTCATCTTACGTAGGCATTCTACTTAACGTATATTCATGCACATGTTGTTGCTTACCTGCTTAATAGTTACAACAAACCAATACACTTTTAAAATGTTACTTGTTACGCCACCTCCAAATCGACAGGCATTTAAACTGTAACAGTGCTTGGGGGTCGTGCGCATGTGCTTTAGTGTTAGGTAACCTGTAAATCAACAGGATACCTTTATTGTCATATAAATGTTTCTGATTTTACCGCTTTATGCACACACATGGTTTAAACGATTAACACACGAGGAGGGTGATTGCTCAACCTGCATTTGCCCTGCACAAGTGACTGATATGCTCCATGAGCGCACAGACCAGCATGCCCAGGTGTCTGTACAGAGCAGTGCTCATGTGCACTGTATGTCTCTTGAGCCGCTGTGCAAAGCTCTACTGCCCGCTGCTGCCAAGAGAGCAGCACGTATGAGGCGTGCGTCTGCTCCACTGTCACGGCCCCGAGCTGTCAGGAGCCAATCTACTGGCGACTAACTTTATAGACTAACCAAACGGCACAATGGGAATAATTTGGTCACAAAATTAAATAGGGTTGATGACAGAAAGGGTACGAGGATGTGAGGAAATATGACATCACAGCTTTAGAACCACAAACAGAGTAAGAAAACATACTTTAAGACAGCGCTGTAAACAGCCTCATGTGAATGAGCAGCTTTTGTACAGATCCAGATCAAACCAAACCACAGACCAGTGCTAATCCGATACAGGAAGTGGGCGAGGGGCTGTGCTTTGCTGCGGACGAACATGTTATGAATGTTAAACATTTATCATCCTAATATATTGCCAAATAAAAGAGGCCTTGAGCATGTTACACATTGTTTTTCAGTGGACTAGTCTGATATTTATTTTTACAGTTCTGGCAATTCACCGAACACACCACACCATGGCCTCATTCTGCTCCATTCCACCTGATATTCAGCTCCATGCCCCACACTTGCACGCAGATCAGCGGTCAGATAGGGCAAGTGTTAACTTTGTATTTTAGATCTGTACAAACATGTTCTGACATGTAATTCTTATGTTTGTTAGTTCATATTTCTTATTGTGGTAATACATCTGGAAGCATTTAAAGTGTGAACAAATTGAAATCACAATTGCAACAAGGTATTTTGTTCAAATAGTTTAGCTTTCCTTGTAGCCCACTGTAGCCCCTGTATTTTCAAGAATACAAAATAATTCATAAAAGTTACCCATACAATGAATCCCAGTGTCCAAGACTCCTATGCACTGGCCCTCACACACAGCTCCTGTTCCCCTGAGTTCACTAGTACACTGTATGCAGATCAACAGTATATTACTTTCTTGTGAAGCCTGATAATCTTATGTCCATGTGTTGTGGAGTGATAAGGCTGCAGGTAAAAGACCTTTTCCAGTAGCATCCCTCCAGTCCTTTGCTGGTTCTAGCATTGTCCATTGTCTGGCCTCTTGTGGTTTTAATGAATACGTGTGTTTTAGCCATTGTGCTGTCAATACTATGCTGACCCCACAGCAAATCTGTTCCACTTCACTTAAGATAATTGTTATCTTCTGAGGCGTGCAACGAATCTTTCAGAATAGATTTTGGAGGCACCATAGAAATCGCAATGAATGGTAGGTAAAAAGTTCAAATGACTACTGAAATGTGGCCATCTCCGAGGAAAAACGTACCTAATTTGCTTCTTATTATCACGTATTGTCTAATTAACATCTAAAGATTGGAGGCGTTAAAGGGAGATTTGCCATTTCAGCACTGTCTCCCTCTTCAGACAGACTATCTTGGAGGATGGGTCCCTCCGGATCGCTAACGTCACACAGTCTGATGCAGGGAGGTACACCTGTGTGGCCAGGAACCACTTTGGATCAGCCAGCAGCACGGGGGCAGTCGTGGTCAAGGGTAAGTGCTGTTATCTCAAGTGTACTGCTGTTATTAAAGATTTTATAAAGTTCATGACATGGGTGACCCCTGTATCCTGTCAAGTTAAAGAGTGGGTGTAATTGGTAACAGACTATGGACGATTATTGGTTAGTTAGTTAGAAATGCAAAATATGTTTTAGGTATAGATAAAAGGTATACTGGGCTGAGTTTATTTATTTTTATTTTTATTTTTTCTCTTATGGGAATAGCTTAAAATTGTACAGGAGTGAGTCAAATCTATCATGTACCCACCTGCTCCATACTACATGCCTTATTTATCATACAGAATGTGCCAGTGAGTAATTGTGCACTGAAAATATCTCCCTGCCATTTTTGACATTCAGTCTTGTGCACAGGCTCGCACTGCCGTTAGATATATAGTATGGCTCTGGATTGAAACTTTAAAAGTGAAAAATACTAAGTCAAGCATGAAATGAATAATGAAATTCACAGTGGTTTTACGTGGCTTTGACAGATGTATAAGTCATCTGTGCTTGTGTCAGCTGTGAGTTATTGTTGCCGTGGCAGCATCAGGGATCTCAACTGCAGCTGAAGAATATTCTGTCACTACTGTTTCATATAAAAAAGCTGCTGTTGCATTTCCCCGATGTGACTGGTTAAATGTGGATTACTGAATGAGAGCACTTTTGGCTTTGTTAATGCACTCTTTAAATATTCATGATTGACTTATGAGTTCCACTGGCCTCCTAAGAGAAGTTATTTAAGCTCACTTAATTACCCTGATAGACTTGCTATCTCGGCCAAATTAGGCCTTATTACCTCATTTGTTTAGCTTATTCCAGCAGACTTTTTAGCACTACTTGGACAAAAGATTACCAATTTTCTCTCTCCTCCTACAGAGCCAACAAAGATAATTGTCCCTCCATTGAGTCTGGATGCCACACTGGGACAGAGTCTGGTGTTGCCGTGTGAAGTGTCCAGCGACCTGTCTCTGAGCCCAAGTTTTAAGTGGTTCTTCAATGGCAAGCCCATTGATTTCAGCCGGCAGGAGCACTTTGAGATGATTGGAGGGGTAGGTGTAATGCGTCTGAGTACTGCTACATAGTCATTTGAGGCAGCAGCACAGCACAGTCAGTGCTGAATTTTTGACCTGCAACATTTTAAAGGTTTGGGCTGATTACAGAGTTTTAGAAAGTAGAGAAGAGGTAGTATGGTTCTTTTCATCTGAAAAATGTATTCAAACATTCACCCAGTGAGAAACTTTTGGAAGTGTATGAAATTCAATACAATATAAATGAACACATACCTTAAATGAGACACCAAGTGCTCTATAACATGGTGAAAATAGATGTACTAAAATGTCCCAAAAAACAATTTAGAAATCACTGAAAAGTGGGAGGAAATTTGAGTAAGTGCTATACCACATGAACACAGACATGGAATGACTCAAACCCCCAAAATCACTCAGTCACACAGTCAAGATTAAGTGTCTTGCCCAAGGATATAGCAGGATCAAACTGTGTTTTGGTTAAAAGGAGACTGCTGTACCAACTGAGCCACTGTTGCTTACACCCAATAACAGACATTTTCTAAGTCAAATCTCTTGTAGAGTCTTAAAACCTCTCATGTCAATGCATGTTATTGTGTCTAGTCATTGGAGCAGCCTATAAACAGCGATGACATTTTCGGGCCTGGAGGTGAACTGAGTGTACACACAAATCAATCAATATCTCCCTCAACAAATCAGAGCCATTACAAGATTTATGCCTCTCTGCCAGAGTGCCTGCCCCGTGAAACTGCAGTAGAACACTGACATTTCCACCGTCAACGTAATCACCATGCTGCTCACCGCCACACAAAGAAATGCATTTTTTCACCGGAATGCAGGCTTTTGTGTAACTACATGAATGAGGCAAAAGGAAATCACCAACTCATGCTGTTTATCTGAACGTGTGAACACAACAAAGACTGATAATAGATAGTGTTTCAAAGCCTCTCATTTCTCTGTTCACTTCTACACAATGCAAACCTGAATCACTTTGTTTTTCCCAAACTGCTGCGTCACTATAGTCGCCTTTGGCATATCTGACTGACTTATTTCTGTGACAAAAAAGAAATGTTTTGTACTTCGTTTGACAATTCTTTCCTCTCTTTGTCCTTAGGGATTTGCCGGTGACCTTATGGTGAGGAATATTCAACTGAAGCATTCTGGGAAGTACGTCTGCATGGTGCATACAGAGTTGGACACTGTCTCAGCTGCTGCAGATTTGATTGTCAGAGGTATGCTAACAAACTGCCTATTCATTTATTTATTTCATGAAGTGCAAACATGAGGGCCTTATGTAAGATTTTATTTTTTTATTTTTTTTAATGGTTAAGTGTACTCTTCCTCGGCCTGGCCTCAGTCAGCCAACTTATTTATTTATTTCATTTTTTCAATTGTGTAACTTAATCATTCTGTTGATCTGCTTTTGATGTCCTATAAGTTTCATATTCTCCATGATACTATAGATTTTTTGTATTTAACAAATATATAATAATGTATTGGATTTAAATACAGTTGTTGTAACACTAAGTTGGAGCTTGACAGAAATAGGCTTCTGAAAGAGTCTTTGACTGGGTCGGTGGTCTTTATACTGAGGTAGGCAACTCTTCACACTCAAGGGCAAAGCTAAAGATCACAGGACTGCTTCATGTAAAAATAAGTCTCTGAATAATTTTGCAACAAATTCACTGACTGTTCAGATGGTACCTTTGAAGCTAAAAGTTTATTTCAAATATTTATGAATATCTAAATCTTGAAGTTCTTCTTAGAGCTGAGGCATAATATAATGTTTTGAGTAAAGGGTGAGCCAAAGGGTGAGGCACAATATACATGGGATGTCTGTATTGTTTATGCGTTACTAACAATTCCTGAGTTGTATTTTTACTTTACTTTTATTACATCTCAGCGATTCTCACAGTTCCTATTACACTCTGCACCCAGTGTTCTTCTGGCTCCTTGTTTATACACACAATTTCAATTATGATGTGTTATGATCACTACAAAATGTTATTGCTACATAAAGGTATAATAGGTCATAAGTAAAAGGCTTCCTCTCTACATTTAAGATCTTGTTTGGTACTTTTGTTTGTAGCATAAAAATATTTACTGCTGCTAAACAAATAACACCAGTTTAAAAAATGAGATTTAATTTACAAAAGGAATATAACCAAGAATAATACATAATACAAAACAAATGTATGGGGTTGTGGGTATGTAAGTATCGGTTGTGTAGTGCGGTGTATGTTATGCAAAAGAAAACCGAGTGTGTGCAATTTGAATGTAGTGGCAAAACAAAAGACAAAGTCAAATGTACGAGTCGGGCACTGGAGAGCTTGGCAGCAGCGAGGCAGGAGCGCAGAGAGAGAGCACATGCTCGTTCACGCCACGGCTTTAACAGTGCACGTGAGGTAAGGTGGACAAGGATGAAAGACCTGCACAAAGAGAAGAGGTGGCAGAGCAGGCACAGTGGCAATAAGCCCATATAAGCCTGGCCCATAAAAATATGCATATGATTTTCAATAATAAGAACAATAGGAAAGCCAACAAGGCTGACAACTTATTTAAACTATTAAACTAGTAATTACTTTATTTCCCCCAGCATAAGTACTACAAGGCTTTTACTTATGTCATAGTCTAATCTAGATCCCATTGTTGTAGGCCTGTACCCAGCACTCATCCCTCTGAGAGCAGAGCGCTAGTGTTTTGCTTAGCTGAAAGTCTCACATTGCAGCCTTTTTATTTCATCTTCTGTTGTTGCTTTACCTAACACCATTCAGATCCCAGTTGAAAACCCAGCTCATTAATGTTATCCAATACTGTTGTTAAGTAATGACTCATCTGCTCTGATTTGGATGCTAGTTTCCCTTTTGTCTTTCTGGTGAAGACACAAAGCCCTCTGAGGAAATAAAGCAGGGCAAACACTGAACTTTTTAGATTTATATATTTATTTTCTGAGACAAGATCACCTAAAATAACCTGCGTTAGTCCCACAATAGCATAGTACCGAGAGCATCTCTACTTGAATGAAGTGGGATTTAATTAGTTATAGTTCTCCATACTGTGTGTTGCAGAAGCCAGCTGCCTAGTAGTGTAAGTGAAATTAAACTTTAAATCGAATTAATAATTAGTGGCCTTGTAGCTGTTGACAGTAGATGTTCTGTTCCTCTCTGTACCTCAGTGGATTGATTGTTGCATTACTCCCTGTAGAAGCCCTTACATCTCCACTAACCCTGAATGCAGCTTGTTAGCCCTATTATGAATTGTACCACATCTGCTGTAGGGTGGGACTGGGATTGCTTAGCTGTGTCTGTTTATGGTACATGTAGGACCTCCAGGAGCACCGGAGAGCCTGGTGGTGAGCGACATCACAGACTCAACAGTGCAACTGCGTTGGGGAGCTGGTCCAGACAACCACAGCCCCGTCACAAGTTACATGGTACAGGCCAGAACCCCCTTCTCTATTGGCTGGCAAAGTGTTCACACAGGTAAGAGAAAAACACTGAAGCAAGTGGCATGTAGTCAGTGTTGGGAAGGTGACTTTTAAAATGTATTCCCCTACAGATTACAGATTACATACACCAAAATGTAGTTTGTAACGTAATCCATAAAATTACTTAAAGTGAGTAACGTAATCTGAATACTTTGGATTACCTGATTTGCTGTAGAGAAGCAAAGATGAGGATATCGTAACATAAGATGTTTTGTCTGATAAAAGACAATAAAAAAACAAATTTTACTGAACCAAATTAAAAACATTATTGATAGAAGAGGAGGAAACACGGTCCACACAGCATGATTTAGTCCTGTTAAATCTTGTTTGAGACCTGGTTTAGTCCTGGTTTACTCTTGGTTTAGACCTAGTTTAGACCTGGTTTTAGACCTGGTTTAGACCTGGGTTTAGACCTGGTTTAGACCTGGGTTTAGACCTGGTTTAGACCTGGTTTAGACTTGGTTTTAGACCTGGTTTAGACCTGGGTTTAGACCTGGTTTGGACCTGTGTTTAGACTTGGTTTTAGACCTGGTTTAGACTTGGTTTTAGACCTGGTTTAGACCTGGTTTAGACCTGGTTTAGACCTGGTTTTAGACCTGGTTTAGACCTGGTTTAGTCCTGGTTTAGAACTGGTTTTAGTCCTGCTTTAGTCCTTGTTTTAGACCTGATTTGCAGATCTGGTTTTATACCTGGTTTTAGACCCGGTTTAGACCTGGTTTAGTCTTGGTTTAGATCTGGTTTAGTCCTGGTTTAGACCTGGTTTTAGTCCTGGTTTAGTCCTGGTTTGTAATCCATTTATTTCAACAAAGTAACTGTAATCCAATTACCACTCACTGAAACTAACTGTAACTGAATACAGTTACTCATAATTTGTACTCTGATTACATAACTTCGGTACATGTAATCTGTTACTCCCCAACACTGCATGTAGTCTTGCTTTGGTTCAGATCTAGCCTTGGTTTAGTCCTAGTCTAGGTCAGGTTTTGTTCGAGATAGCACAATTTCAGTTTGAGGTATATTTAGATTTTCTCAAAAAAGTTACTAAATGGAAAAGAGACAAAACCAGTCTTTAAAACCCAATGATTTAATCTTAAATCTCTGCTAGATTTGCCCCAGACTAGCTAGCATGGACTAATTTTGGAAATATGTTTGGGCAACCCTGCTTTAGAAACTAGGCCATGATGGAAAACTTAAAATAGTATAAACATGAGGATTAATTCCCAGGTTAACTCATATCTGTCTGGTGGTGTCTATGTATCTGTTGTGTGTATCTGTTTTTGTTTTGTTTTTTTCTGAATAAATCCTAAACTATTTTAAGATGACAGTTTGATTTCTTCATATAATGGTATGTTGAGGTACCTTATGCAACCTTTAATAGATCGATTGGACTTCCTACACATATGTGTGACTCTTTTTACAGTTCCAGACCCTGTCCCCGGACACATTCTGCAGGCAACAGTGAAGGACCTGAGCCCCTGGGTGGAGTATGAGTTCAGGGTGGTTGCGATCAACAGTGTGGGCATTGGTGAACCCAGTTTGCCTTCCAAGCAGATAAGGACTAAAGCTGCAGGTATAAAACCCTGTTGTATGAAGTTTCATTCATGTTGGGTTCAGTAAAAAAAAAAAAAAAAAAAAAAAAAAAAAAACATGGTTCAAAACGTCCAAGGACTGTTGCATCACATGTAGAAACCCTGTGCAGTTTTTAAGTCCATAAAATTATAGTCATCACCAGGCTCCTTCATAGCATTTCTGCCATCACATCCTGTCCATTACTACTGTGTGCTTGCATGTCCCTGTGTGTTTAGTATTATCATCAAGATTAGTTTTTGTTTTTCCTTGATAATTTCCACTGCGGCCAACAGATCAGGCCCTACACCAAATTCCAGGAAGCCCAAGCTAGAAAACAATGTCTGGTTCAATACATGATCATTATTTTAGGTTCTAAAATAGCAAAGGTACTCAGTCAGTTCAGTCAATATCTTGTTTGGACTCTTTACTGACCGATGTAGGCCTGGACATCTCATGATGCTTGAACTTTAATTTATACAAAGTTGTCCAGTAGTGACTTGCAGGATAAATAACAGTTACATAACACAATCAGTAATTTTGTGATATGTTAACTGTGTTATGCCAGAAAAATGCCATTTTCAGTCTCTACACTGATATAGGCAGTGTTGGGAGGGTTACTTTTAAAATGTATTCCCCTACAGATTACAGATTACATACCCCAAAATGTAGTTTGTAATGTAATCCATTAAATGACTTAAAGTGAGTAACGTAATCTGAATATTTTGGATTACTTGATTTTGTCATGTTTTTTAAAACTACATGAATGTAGCAACCACATCCTGAAAATTCTTGTTTGTTCTCTTCAAATTGGCCCTGGTTGAGAGCTCTTTTAGTCCTGGTTTAGACCTAGTTTAGACCTGGTTTACTCCTAGTGTAGACTTGGTTTAGACCTGGTTTAGACCTGGTTTAGTCCTGGTTTAGACCTGGTTTAGTCCTGGTTTAGACCTGGTTTAGTCCTGGTTTAGACCTGGTTTAGTCCTGGTTTAGACCTGTTTTAGTCCTGGTTTTAGTCCTGGTTTAGTCCTGGTTTAGTCCTGGTTTAGTCCTGGTTTAGTCCTGGTTTTAGTCCTGGTTTTAGTCCTGGTTTTAGTCCTGGTTTTAGTCCTGGTTTAGACCTGGTTTAGACCTGGTTTTACTCCTGGTGTAGACTTGGTTTAGACCTGGTTTAGTCCTGGTTTAGTCCTGGTTTAGTCCTGGTTTAGTCTGGTTTAGACCTGGTTTAGAGACCTGGTTTAGTCCTGGTTTAGTTTTAGTCCTGGTTTAGACCTGGTTTAGTCCTGGTTTAGTCCTGGTTTTAGTCCTGGTTTTAGTCCTGGTTTAGTCCTGGTTTAGTCCTGGTTTAGTCCTGGTTTAGTCCTGGTTTAGTCCTGGTTTAGTCCTGGTTTTAGTCCTGGTTTAGTCCTGGTTTAGTCCTGGTTTTAGTCCTGGTTTTAGTCCTGGTTTAGTCCTGGTTCAGCCCAAAATTTGTAAACAGGAAAATACCACCGTGTAATCCATTTATTTCAACAAAGTAACTGTAATCCAATTACCACTCACTGAAACAGTAACTGTAACTGAATACAGTTACTCATAATTTGTACTCTGATTATGTAACTCCGGTACATGTAATCTGTTACTCCCCAACACTGGATATCGGTTAATATCATCGGCAGATACTCAAAGCCAGTGTCTTGATGTTGGTATCAGAACTGAAAGACCTGGATCGTCACATCCCTAGTTAAAGGAGACAATGGGGAAGATATGCTCTGTGCTTAATGCAGGTGAATGTATTTGTATTAGAAGTACTATACGCGATCCTGACATAAGCCTCCACACTATTTGGCTGCCACAGAGTTTGTTATGAATTACAGTTATCCCTGTAATTCTCTCCCATTGTATCACTCTGGAACAAGTCTCCTGTAGAGCCACACAAGCGGGCTGACGGGTGGAGGAAAAGCTGCGTGTGACATGAGCACTGATACCTTTGTCAACACAGTGCTAATTCCCGGCTGGGTAGGTAACCAGTGCTGTGTAAATGAGGGGCTCGGCAGGGACAGCTGTGATCTTCTCCTCCTGCTTTCATCTGCACCTTCCAGATCTTACTCACTGTATGATCTGTCTGTGTCTGTGCCTGTGCAGTCCCCAAGGTGGCGCCCCTGAGCGTGAGCGGTGGGGGAGGAGCACGAGGAGAACTGGTGATTTTGTGGGAGGTAAGAGCTTAATTAGAACACATGTTAGCAGTCTGTCTGTCTGCTAATTTCAGTAATAATTCATCTCCATATTCAAATGTTAAGGTCAGAAACTGATTCCATTGTAATTCTTTTCTGTTAATTAATGGTTAGTATTACAGTAACCTGTGTCAAAAGGCTAATAGCTGAAAGAATGTCAGTAATGGTGAACATGTGTTTTTCAGTCTATAAATATTACACATCTTTAGTAATCAATCTGACAGATGTTCTAAAGTTTGTTGAAGTGGCTCAGAGCGTGCCTTGTCCCTGTGTAGTGGTTTTAATTGGAGTGTTTGTGATTTGCTGCCTGCTGACTCCTCCACCACTGTAAATTTCACAGTCGTAAATCTACCATTAGGTGACAGTTTGATGCGTTTTGGATGTGATTCAGTACTAGCTGTTCTGCTCTGTTCTCAGGAGGAGCTAAAACATAAAACACAGTTGCTGCCAGACTTTGTAGACTTTTGTAATTACATTTGTGCACACAGTAGTTTGGGTTTCACACTTGTTTTGTGTGTCTCTCAGCCCGTTCCAGAGGAGCAGCAGAGTGGGGAGGATTTTGGTTACATCGTGGCCTTTCGGCCTGTGGGCAGTAGCACCTGGATTCAGTCTGTGATGGCCTCCCCTGATGCATCTAGATATGTGTACAGGAACGACAGCCTCCTGCCTCTGTCACAGTACGAGGTGAGAGTGGGCGTGTTCAACAGCAGAGGGGAGGGGCCTTTCAGCCGCTCCATCACTGTGCTCTCTGCAGAGGAAGGTGAGTACGACAGGTGAATGAGGAAAGCCTATTCTGAACAGCACAAATATATTATTCATGTTTGTCCCACAGAGCCGTCTGAAGCCCCATCCAAAGTGTGGGCTCGCTCTGTGTCATCCTCCGAGATCGACGTGTTCTGGGAGTCCATTCCCAGCGGCTCTAGCACCGAGATCATTACATATGAGGTAAAACATACCTTTCAATAATACTTTGACAGGGACAATTTAAACATGTAGCTGGCATTAATCTCAGTGTGAGTGACAGTACAATAGGCTGGCGTTGACTTAAATATGCCTGCCCATGGCGACAACACAGAAAAATGTCAGTGCTGTTTGTGTTTGAGCTGTGGGTTTTTCACAGAGAATCTGAGGGATGAAGAGGGCTGTTGGCAGCAATACCAGTCTCCCAAAGAACTGTACATTCTGCCGTGAACACAGCTATTATGGACATATACAAATAAGAAGTGTGAAGAACAGACTTCACTTTCCTCACCACAAACTCACTTGGGATGTGCTCCAAAGACACCTAGATAAAAATACCACCCATGGATAAGCCTCACATCCATTACTCAGTGGGCAGTGCTCAGGTGGTCTGACCTTTAGCTTTTAGCGGGTTAGGGCTTTGTTGGGCCACAACATGGAGTGAGACAACAATAACACAAGCACACAAAGCAATGTAGCTCAACTCTGCAGCTGCTATTTTTGAACTAGTTTCAAAGTGCTTGTATTTCACAGAGCTGTCAGCATTTCAGTTTTAATTAAACCATTCTTCACTATCAGCTATGTATTATTGTCGTACTGTTTTCAGTGTAAACACGGCATGTAATATTATAAGAAAGTGTATCCAACAGTATCAATGTATGACATTGCATAAACATATGTTTTTTAAGTTCTTCCCACAACTTTAGATGTGCCATAATCCATTTAATCTCTAATCAATAAAACATGAGTCGCTCACACAGAATCACTCGTGAATTCTGATGACGGCCTGTTTATCTTGGCCTCCTTTCTGTGTATGTTTGATGGGACATCTTCATTGCTGTTGCTGTAACCCTACCCCATTGATTTGACCCTGTGGTTTAGGCCAATCTGAAGATCCAAACAATATGCCAGTCACATACTCAATACTGCTTTGTTATGGACATGGAGTCTTTAGGTGAATCAAAGTATGACCTGTAGTCCAGCGCTAGAGAAAAAAACAAACATTATGTGTCCCCCAGCACTTGAAATCTCTCACCCAACATTGTGGCTGTTACATATGAGGCACACACACATTGAACACAGTGGTATGGCCAAGATCATCCAATAAAAATGATAAAATACTTGTCCGTTTAGTTTGTGAGTATTTTGTCTTAGTAATGGGATGGATGCTATATTTTAGACATCCTTCTACAAGTAAACCATACCTTTTCCAAGTCTATTCCTAATGGAGTCAGTATTTCTTATTACTACCACCAGTATTAGCAATATTAACATAGAAGGGCTGCAATGACTGTGATTTAACAGAAAACTGTTTCACTAGACTCAACCATCAACCAAGAATTATCTAAATCATGTAGCATAGCTTCAAAGTTTCACTAACTGCAGTGACTTTCTAAAAACCCCTTGCACTAAATACTGGAGTGTAAATCACAAATTCTCTCTTCTTCAGCACCTTGGACAGCTCCAGAATCTACTGCACAATATATGAGAATTCAGTGCTTTTATGGCAAGTTCAAAGTAAAAATGTAACAGATAGCAGCCAATATTAGTCTGACTTTGTGTTTATTTTTATGAGGTGTATATTCTGAAACATAAAGTTTGTGTCTATCTTTTTTCTTTTTCTACCCACATTGAAAGTATTTTGAAAGTAATGCGTGTAGAGGTGAGACTGCAAACTGTAAACTCTCTTTTTCTCACCCTCCCTCTCTCTACCCCAATAAATTGCTATAATTAAACCGCTGGTGGAAGAAAAAAAAAAAAAAAAAAAAAGTAAGAAAAAGAAAAGCGCTTCAGATGCATCTGTTATCAGCAGCTCCAGGCCCTGTCGCTAATCTGCCTTTCCCGAGCAATATCCCTGAAAGCCTGTGTGCAGCCAATTGGATAAGTAGCTCCTCTCAAACCATCTGGTTGACATTTTCCTGTCTCATGTCGGGGTCATAAGTGATCTTTTCTTGAATACAGATTGTGGTGAACCCCTTGTATGGTATTACTGATATAGCATCACCTTCTAATGCTGCGTCAGTGCTCATCAGGGCAGAACTGCAAGAGGCTTAAAGGTCCTATGTTAGGCAATATTGACTCTTGAGCTTGAATCCAGGTTATAATGTTGTTACCTCATCAAAAACATAACATTAACACATGTTTGAGTAATCATGTTTTAGTCTTTCAACATCTCCAAAGCTCAAAATGCTCTGTTCTACCGTGTAATGTCTTGTAGTGGCAGTTTTCAATTTAACAACTACTTTTTACCTTTTGTTCAATAGAGATTGGAAATTCCCAGGGCTGAAATTATCCAAATGATTCTAGTGAAGGTGTATGGAGTTTAAAACATAGTAGAGTTTGAGGGAAGATCTCAGTCTAAATATGCAGGATTTGTATGTTAGCGTGTGAATGAAACAAAGCAGTATTCAGGTTTTGAGCCTGTGCTTTAGTTATTATCTGACTCTCTTTTGTAACCTTTGATCTGCTAAGAGATTTCATCACCATGTCTCAATTCTCTGGTAGAAAGTCCAACACTTGCTTGTTGCGTGGAGATGATAATGCTTTATCTGGAACATTCCACAGTATGGCATTACTGCAACTGCTACTGCTACTTTATTTATAATATACTTTAAAAACAACACACATTGTCCAAAGTACTACAGAACATAACTAAAAACAATAAAAATAATAAAATAACAAAGACAGAATCTACTAAAAACAATCTTAATAAAATGTCCACATCTCAAACTGTGTCAAAGGCCAAAGTGAGCAAGTGCGTTTTAAGAAGACATTTAAAAACAGGTTTAGTAAAGACCTGTGTAATGTGCAAAGGCAGCTCATTCCACAGTTTTGGTGCAGCCACCACAAAGGCTCTGTCCCCTCTGAGCTTCTGGCTGGTCTTGGCACACTCAGCTGGTCAGCCAACCAGAGAAACAGTGCAGGAGTGTAAGGATGAAGGAGCTCAGAGAGGTACAGCGGGGCAGCACCACTTAAACCTTTAAAAACAAGTAAAAGCAGTTTAAAATTGATCCTAAAGTGCACAGGCACCCACTGAAGGGAGGATAAAATAGGAGTGATGTGCTCATATTTTCGAGTGGCAGTTAAAAGACGTGCTGCTGCATTTTGGACAAGCTGCAGCTGAGAAATGGAGGACTGACTCACCCCAAAATAAAGCGCGTTAATTGTACAGTATATCATGTGTTTATTCAATTCAAAGTGTCTTTTTTTTATCAAACATGAATTCTCCATGGAGCTAGAGTTGAATCATTGAGCAGAAACGTTACACAGTAAAGCTTTAGGTTATTTGGATTTTACAATACAGCAGATTTACTTTGAACAGTTGTTTGTTCTTTTATCTTTCTCATCCATCTATCTGTATGTTCATTATCCCTGTTGTGTACCAGTTCATCACAATTTGGATACATTTTACTCCAAAGAACTTCCTGTTTTTTCTTCAACACCACTGCCACTTTCATCATTCTGGTACACATGGACCCAGTCAAGCAGAAGTAAACAGCAAGGTCAAGAATTCAAGTTAATGCATCTGATATAAAAATGTATTGAACAGATACATATGTACTCTAGTTTATGAAACTGTTGACCTTTTTTCTGTACCATTTTTGGTTCTAAAGTTCCATATGTTTTAAACAGACCATGTATGAAACATGGAACAAAAATTATTTCCCAAATTTCAAAGACCTTCAAATCATGTCAATAAATGGATGTATTTCGTCATATCTTGTGTTATTCCATCTTTGAACTGTTGATGAAGAGATGTGATTTTTTTTTTTTTTTTATGTATTTAAAAATGATAAAAATTTGCTTGGAAGGACTGACATATTTTATAGAAATAGTTTCCTTTCATTTTTAAGTAATATTAAAGTATTAAAATCATGCACCTTCTACTTGCTTGCACAATTTTCCCTCCGTTACTTTTCCCTCCGTTACCATGACCTTTCTTAATAAAAAATCTCATGACTCAAAAAGTAAGAGGTTTTTCAACCTAATCTTGTACCATATGGTAGAAAACTATATGAAGCAAATATTCAAACCAGTTTGTTAAGGATATGGAAGTGAGAACCAAGAGTTATCACTGTTTGGATTTATTGCCCAAAAAGTGCTGCATATTTCATTCCCTCTGTTACCGACGTGAGTTTTTACATTTTTTGTCAACGACTTGAAAGAATATCACAGGTTTAACTTGACCCTGTTGGAGTGTAACTCTTTCCTACATTTTGATACTTTACTTATTTCAATAGTTCCTCTAGTTTCTGAATAAGAGACATTTGAATGTCAAAAATCTGCCCCTGTTTCCCTCCGTTACCACTTGACCAGACCCACATTTGCTTTCACTATTTCTTATATAAAAGTATGTCTATGTTGTAGGTGGTGTTCTGGGAGGAGGGCTCTGAGGTGAAAGATGCAGAGAGAGTGAGGGTGGCCAACAGCACAGTGCGCCTCTCCTCTCTGAAGCCCAGCACAGTCTATGTGATCTCAGTCAGAGCTCAGAACAGTGCAGGACTGGGACCCAGGAGCCCTGCTTTCAACATCACCACTAAGAAACCACGTAAGCCCAAACAATGACAATACAGGCTTTATTTTACACTTTTGGACACATTTTATGTTTCATTGATTTATGAAAAAGTGCTAATCATGGCTTCAAGGTACCTTTTTGAGTCCATGTCTGGGCAACTATTTTATTTTATTCCATTGTCTCTTTTCACATGAATAAAAAGCTAATTTATAATGTGCATTTTATATTTACTTTTTGTTACTGGACTCTCTCTATGGAAGCCTGGCTCTTGTAGTAAAAAGTGTCTTGCCTTCACACAGTGATTAAATCAAGTCTGACCGCGGGGTTAGTCCTCCGCTTACTATTGATGACTTTAATTTATGCTTTCATTTGTAAAATGTGCTTCTGTGTAATTACACACAGCACCAAGTCAGCCTCCAGGGAACATTGAGTGGAACCTGACCAACTCCAAGATCTTTCTAAATTGGGAACATGTCAAGGCACTGGAAAATGAGTCTGAGGTGACTGGATACAAGGTGAGTGCATCTGAGAAATTTACAGTAAAGAAACAAATAGGTTTGAAGCTGTCAGCCCTGTGAATAGCTTTCTCATTGTAGGAGATAGATAGAGCCAGCACTCTGGTGTCACATTATGGATTGGCCCAGTCTGGCCTTTCAAAATTAAAAGATCTGTCCCAGGTGATAAAATGAAAACATCATAGCCCAGAGTAAGACAGCATCTTTCAGTGGTGACAGCCGTGCATTGACCCACATTTATTTAGCATACTAGAGGAAACAGACTGTTTATAATTGAACCTCTTCAAATATTCAATTCTGTGAAGATGAAGCTTTGATAGATGTGGGAGAAGAGTGCAGTTTTCTTACCTATCCAGGTGCCGAATATGTCAAAATCTGAAATCACATTATGCTGTTTATGTTTTATCATGATGTTCAGGTTGTGTACCGTCCAAACTGGAACACTAGAACTTTGGTTTTAGAGACCAGAAGTCCCAGTGTGGAGTTACACATCCCATCTGGGGACGACTACCTCATAGAGATTAAAGTGCAGACTGAAGGAGGAGATGGAGCCAGCAGCGGGCCCATCCGCATCCCAATGATGTCCAGTAAGTTCTAAGATTCTGCTAGACTTTACTAGACACATGTATCGCACTTCACAAGTGATATATTGAAAAATAATACGATTGGCTTCTTTCACAGGTCTGAACTCACATGGACACAGGAAGTGTTTTGTAGTTCCACTTCACTTTGTCACCTTGGGGATTGTTTTTACAGTTTTCTCTATGAAGTTGTAGCTGCTGAACTGCCGTGTTCCTTTGTTTCTGAGCTCAACTCTAAAATGGACAGTGGAGGCATCTCAGAGAAGTGGAGAAGTTTTTGTTTTTTTTTAATTCTGAGAGTATCCCAAATTTGCCATATAGCCGCCTTCTAAACCCAGTCCAGTTTTTAGATTTCTTGATGAGTTAATTGTTGGTTGGATGGATAATGCTAGCATTAGCAGCTCCTCATGGACTCTCAGGCTGAACCGCTGCTCCTTACATTACACTTAAAGGGACACAACAGACATTCTGTTGGCTTAGATGCAAAAGACCAGACAGTGCTTTTGTCTAAATACATTGCCTTATCTGTAATACTTTGCCTGTTTATTAGTTCTTTGCAAATTTATTGCTGTAAATCATGGATTTATCATGAAAGACTTGAAGATTGTATTTTATGTTTTTTCTGTAATTGTGTATTTTAAAATACTGCTTTGTTGTTCTTAATGTTACTAGTAAACTATGAATTTATTGATCATTTCACAGGATTGTAGTATAATAGGGCATAGGATAAGCCGATAAGTGAATTATTTATAAATATTTATGCAGTGTGTAAAAATGTGGAAGGTAATAGTTTTTTAAGGCTGGTAAATGAATTACAACTTTTTAAAGTAAGTTGTGAATAAAGGACAATATATTAATAAAGAACACATGCAACAGTATCAATAATGACAAAGTAGTAGTTCCATAAAAATACATGACCTCAACTTCAAGGTTAGTAGCAGTAGTAGTACCTGCTGAATCCAGCTGACAAAAATATCATTTAATGTTCTTCCTCTTTTTTTCTTTTTCTTCTTTTTGTTGCTATCCTATTCATGTGTGGCACTGTCAGTTTCATTAGGAGGTTCTATTGGTCCTATTAAATATTAGTTTATGTGTTTAGTGTGTGATTTACAAATATTGTGCTACCTCCCCCATTCCTTCATTCTCCCACCCTTGAAATTACCTGTTATTTTGTACTAAATCTGCTCTACATGACGACTAGAATGCAGATGTATTGTAATAATGTGTAAAAATATCTCTGTGAGATGAAAACCTTAAAGTAAATTTTCATATTGAAATCTTTAAGCGTGTGTGTCTCTTTTATCTCTAATTAGACAACAATGCATTAGAGGAAAACAGACTTTCATAGTTACTTATTGTATTACTGAGCATGTAGGAGTCTCGTTCAGTCAGGCTGACATCTTGTAGAGTTATAACATTACTGAAGAAAGGGAGAAAATACATACAATAAAAGAACTGGCATTGTGAATTATATGGATTTTTACTCATTTTACACATATCCTCATGTGACACCATAAAGTAATATTTATATTCACTCAGTGCTAGTCTCATGGTGAGTATACTTTTATATGTTAATGTCTAAACAAAACATTATGTTCCTTATGCTTCAGTTTAGTTTCTCATTGTAATCAAGCCCATACATAATGTAAAAAGATACACATAATGACCTTGGACATTCAAGGTAATATGTTGCTGTTTTTAAATTTCATAAACACTGACAAATTTACTCCAAAAGGTTTATCCATAGAGATACAATTGAACAGATTAGCCCAGATCTGCGAGCTCTGACACTGAAGACTACACTGTATACTAGTATGGGGAGTTAGGTAGATAGTCGGTGGAGATTGATATCACTGTTGGAGATCCAGCTTGAGCCAATTAAATGTGTGATGGATTAGAGGCTTTATCCTCAGCATTAGTCTGGGGAGAGGAGATCAGGAGCAGCAGAAACCGTCTCATCTCAGCTCATAATCTCTGTCAGAAACTCATTGATTTTCTGTTAACACACATGGATGGCTGCACTGGCTTTTAACACTTAACATTTGAAGGTTTCATATTAGATGGACAGGTCACATAACAGTATTGCAATTACTTCTTTCAATGAAAAAAATATCATCAGTCAAAATACATAAAATTTGGGCTTGGAATTAAAGGGACTCTTACGATTCAATATACGATGATGCCATGATTTGCAGTGTATGATAATCTGTATATTGCAATTATTCTGCCATGTATCACTACCAAGTGCAATGACAGAATTTCTTTGTTAAAACACTATCTGATCAAATAACAAAATACATTTCAATTATCAAAACAGGGAACATGTCAGATGTATTACATGAACAATCTCCTTTCTTGAAACAAGTACAACTTGTAACCTTGTCACAAAATGATTAAAAAATTTAAAAAAAAAGTAAATAAAAATACTTATATTGGGCAGAAGCCCATAATATCAATATAATAATATCAGCCCATAATATCAATACTGTATCACCATATACAGTACCAGTCAAAAATTTGGACTCACTCTCTCATCCTCTCATTCAGTCTTTTTTGTTTGTTTGTTTGTTTGTTTGTTTGTTTGTTTTTTTTTTACAACTTTCAACATTTGATATACATACAGAAGACATCAAATATATAAGTAAGATATGTGGATTTATGTAGCAAAGAATAAAAGTTATTATAGTTGTACAGTATTAAAGTAACTAGTTTTTTGTATATTCTATATTCAAATCCTCAAATTAGCTACTCTTTATTATTTCACTTTTTTCTTTATATATATATATATATATATATATATATATATATATATATATATATATATATATATATATATATATATATATATATATATATATATATATATATATATTATATAATATATATATATATATATAAAAATGTGTTTCTCACCTTCCACGGTGGTAGGTCTCTCTCACCCTCATTGAGCTCGGGTCCTCTACCAGAGGCCTGGGAGCTTGAGAGTTCTGCGCAGTATCTTTGCTGTTCCCAGTACTGCGCTTTTCTGGACTGAGATGTCCGTTGTTTTTCCCGGTATCTGTTGTAGCCACTCTTCCAGTTTAGGGGTTACAGCCCCGAGTGCTCCGATCACCACAGGCACCACTGATGCCTTTACTTTCCAGGCTCTCTCCAGCTCTTCCTTGAGCCCCTGGTATTTCTCTAGCTTCTCGTGTTCCTTTTTCCTGATATTACCATCGCTTGGTATTGCGATGTCAACCACCACGGCTCTGCTCTGTTTCTTATCCACCACCACTATGTCTGGTTGGTTCGCCATCACCATTCTGTCAGTCTGTATCTGGAAGTCCCACAGGATCTTGGCTCGGTCATTCTCCACAACCTTTGGAGGTGTTTCCCACCTTGATCCTGGGGTCTCCAGCCCGTACTCTGCACAGATGTTTCTGTACACTATGCCCGCCACTTGGTTATGTCGCTCCATGTATGCTTTCCCTGCCAGCATCTTACACCCCGCAGTTATGTGCTGGACTGTCTCAGGAGCCTCTTTGCACAGTCTACACCGTGGGTCTTGTCTGGTGTGGTAGATCTGGGCCTCTATTGCTCGAGTGCCCAGGGCCTGCTCCTGAGCAGCCAGGATCAGTGCCTCTGTGCTGTCCTTCAGACCAGCCCTCTCAAGCCATTGGTAGGATTTCTTGATATCAGCCACTTCAGTTATGTTCCGGTGGTACGCCCCATGTAGGGGTTTGTCCTGCCATGATGGTCCCTCCAGCACCTCTTCCTCTGGACCCCACTGTCTGAGACATTCTCTGAGCACCTCATCTGCTGGGGCCTTGTCCTTGATGTACTCAAGGAGCTTGGATGTTTCATCCTGGACAGTGGTTCCCACACTCACTAGTCCTCGGCCCCCTTCCTTCCGGCCTGCGTACAGTCTCAGGGTGCTGGATTTGGGATGGAACCCTCCATGCATGGTCAGGAGCTTTCGTGTCTTAACATCTGTGGTCTGTATCTCCTCCTTTGGCCAGCTTACAATCCCTGCAGGGTATCTGATCACTGGCAGGGCGTAGCTGTTGATTGCCTGCACCTTGTTCTTGCCATTGAGCTGGCTTCTAAGGACTTGCCTCACTCTTTGCAGGTATTTGGCCGTAGCCGCTTTCCTTGTTGCCTCTTCGAGGTTGCCACTTGCTTGTGGGATACCAAGGTACTTGTAACTGTCCTCAACGTCTGCTATTGTTCCCTCTGGGAGTGACACCCCCTCTGTGTGGACTACCTTCCCTCTCTTTGTCACCATCCTGCTACATTTCTCAAGCCCGAATGACATCCCAATGTCTGTACTGTAGATCCTTGTGGTGTGGATCAGTGAGTCGATGTCTCGCTCACTCTTAGCGTACAGCTTGATGTCATCCATGTAGAGGAGGTGACTGATGGTGGCCCCGTTTCTGAGTCGGTATCCATAGCCAGTGCGGTCGATTATTTGGCTGAGAGGGTTCAGGCCTATGCAGAACAGTAGTGGGGACAGTGAGTCTCCTTGGTATATGCCACATTTGATGGACACATGTGCAAGTGGCTTCCCCTTGGCTTCAAGGGTGGTTTTCCACAACCGCATCGAGTTCGCAATGAACGCCCTTAGAGTCCTGTTGATATTGTACAGCTTCAAGCACTCAGTGATCCATGTGTGTGGCATTGAGTCGTAGGCTTTCTTGTAATCAATCCAGGCAGTGCACAGGTTGGTCTTACGGGTTCTGCAGTCGCGGGCGACTGTTCGGTCAACCAGGAGTTGGTGTTTGGCTCCCCTGGTGTTTTTGCCGATACCCTTCTGTGCTGCACTCATGTATTGATTCATGTGCCCACTTATCTTAGCCGCAATGATGCCTGACATGAGCTTCCATGTTGTGGAGAGACAGGTTATTGGCCGATAGTTGGATGGGACTGCACCCTTTGAAGGATCCTTTAGGATCAGGATCGTACGCCCTTGGGTTAACCATTCAGGGTGAGTCCCATCCCTTAGCAGCTGGTTCATTTGTGCTGCCAGGCGCTCGTGGAG